AATAAGCATTTTGGTAAGAACTGAATTTGAAAATGTCTAAACAATTCCTTTTTAATTTAAAAGACTACACACACATACACAACTAAATTTGACATTTTTTCAAATTTAATGATATTAGAGACATCATTCAACGGAATTGTTTCAAATTTCTTATCGGAAGATCGGAATCGATTTTTTTATAGATATCGTAATGAACCGTGAACACTTCCTTTCGGAACACCTGCACTTTCGGACTTTAATAAATTAAAAGTGATTATTCAGAGAGTCTTTAAAAGACATTTGTGAAGTAAAAAACAATTGCTTTGGCGAAGATAGAAATGGTCCAGCAGATAACGTTCAGCTTTATCAGTGCCCCAAGACCATATAACACCACATTTAATGTCAAAAATAGTTTATTTTGCACAGATATGTTTATATATTTTTTTACTCAATCTCAATACTCATGATTGACAACTGAAATATTTTTTATATCTTAAGTATAACAGTCTAGTATAAAAACGTTCTCCATCAGCCTCTTTTCTTTACTTAGAAATATTTACTTGTAGCATTTTCCCAACTAATTATTGCTGAATTACAAACTGTTCATTTTGTTGTCTACGAAATTCAGCTTATGGTGTTTTTACCTGAACTTGATAGCAACACGGCAACCCTATGCATTCTCATTTTACCAACATTTTTGGCTCTCTTCATTGAAATCTCTCTTGGAGACGGACTGACAGCTGCTTTTGGCCGTTGTGGCACAACGTGTATCTTTCCTATATAAGATACCTACTCAATAGCTCGTAATTTTAAATACGCCAAGTACAACTGAGCCCTTAAGAACCATTGCATTTACTTACCGGCAAGGAAGCCGCGTGTTACCTAAAGACCAAAGACACACTCAATGTTAACGTTTAAAAATAATTAACAAATTATATATTTATTTTATCCGTACAAAATAATTTAAAGGAAAATATCTACCAATTGACAATTTGTGGTATCTGTGTGAATAGAGGAAAGATTGAATCATAATGGAGGATTTCTTAGAAAATATTGGGTAAGTTTCATTTAAAGGAAATGAGGTAACAATTCCAGACAATTGCATCGTTTATGTGGCCGAAAGCATTGGAATTTATCTGTAGATAGGCCAATGCCACAATTTGGCGTCCAAAAGTAAAAATAACTCGCCTCTTGTCTCGTGCTACTCACCCCTTAGCTTCCCTCGCAAACACAGCGTCAAAAAATAAAAACACATTCACTAAATGTATACAGTTTGTCATGTAAATATTTATGAATTGGAAAACGCTATGATTGTGCCCTCAAATTTTAAAATCTATTCTGAAGATAGAAAAAATAAGTTCGGGTATTGTTGACAGTGTTTTTTTTATATACGATCTTTTTTCTTTTGGTGGAACTCGGAATTTTCGGTTAATATCTGTTTTAATTGCCTTTCTAGTGCAATAACTTGCAAACATTTACACGACAAACTATGCCCTCTATTTATTCTCACAGTAACAGCGAGCACACTACCAACAACAAACACAACGGCAATTGTTTAATTTTAGTTAGCGTGTTCATTTTAATTTATTTTTATTGATTTTTGTAGTTGTTTCTTTTTCTACGTCATTTGGAAAGAAATTCAACGCCATGGCGCGTCGCTGTTTTTACAGCACATCGGTTACACTCATCTGTTGGTGGCTTTACGTGAGCGCACATGTGTGGTGAAGAAATGAGAAGCAAGTGTCCGCCTCCCCGTATAAATACGCGCCACTTTCAAATTATTGAAGGGTGAAATATGATTAGAAAGGAATGCAATTTGACGATTTGTTTGCAAATATGCCAGGGTATTTGACACTTATCTACAGTGGCATAATTGCTTCCAATCAAATAAGTTTCTCGTGTTCGGTTAAATTTCTGCAAAGCAATCACAATTAACTATATATGTGCGGCCTAGTAGAGGGGGGAAGGGATTTTATTCTTGCTAAAGGCTATGTTTACTTTATACTTTTTTTATAACCTCCTCCAAGGAGGGTAAATTAGACTTGTCATTTCGTTTGTCACAACTCGAAATATTCGTGGAAATCCCCATAAAACTCTAAGTCGATTTAACGATATCCGTCTCTCTGTGTGTTGAAAAAAAAAAAATAGAGGCGAACTTATTTAACAAAGAGCTTTATAACTTGGCATTAATGTTTGCATTGTGTCCAGAATAGTTGATATTAAAAATTGAGTGAACAACTCTGGTTTGGTAAAAACTCTTCGATTTTTTCGAAATTTTTTGCAGAGGTAGTTATGTTTACCCTGAATCCGAGAAACTATTTTTTCTTGGCAGGCGGACACGGGACCACCGATTTTTGACCTACCCGATATATACATTATGGTTATCGTTTGAAAGTGACCAACAAGTGGTCACATTATGGGGTAAGATTTAAGCGGTTCGGAGCTTATAGTCCAATTATTGATTTTTTGGACCCGCATTTTTATAAAAAAAAACCCAAAAAGTCGAAAAAGGCTCCATTATGGGGGTCAAATAAAATGCTACAATTTGTGCTGATACCTTGTTCGGGTCCAGAGATATGGGTCTTTTCACCCGCATAATTTGGCATTCATTTGGTTGACCCCCATAATGGGCCCCTTTTCGACTTTTTGGGGGTTTTATAAAAAATTCGGGTCCAAAAAATTTATAATGTGACTATAACTTCCGAACCGTTTAAAAAATTAAATTGTTTAATAGGTATTTTCATAAGTTTTCCAACGATACCTCTTTTATTTATATCGGGTAAGTGGATCCGGATCTAGTCGGGGTCTTGAACTCGGACTTTCGATTCAAAAATCTAAGAAGAAATAGTTTCCCGGGACCGGGTAAAAATACCTACCTCTGGAAAAATTTTGGATAAAATCGAAGGGTTTTTACTAAACTTAGTTTTAAGCCAAAATGAGGTATTTCCTTCCATGTTTTCCTATTGTACCCATAAAACGGTACCTCCCAATATTATATTGTTTCAAATTTGGTATTTAGATTTTGTAATGGATTTTACCTCCTTTGACACAACATTGTCTATTTAGCTCCACGGTTTCTTATAGCCCCCATATAACAATATCTCCAGTATTATTTATATTTGAAGTTTACAATAGTTTCACAATAATGTTCATAAGTGCTTATGCATCACCTGTGTTCCAGCATGATACGAAATTAACTACGATATCTCGTAAAATGCATGCTTTCATATCACGTTTTCAGGCGTTTTAATTGTGAGTGCGTACCTAAGTGACACTCATGTGTAACGGAAGATCTCAATTCGAAAATAAACTAATTTGACGTTTACATTAGATATTAATGCAATCAGCCAATTCCAAATTGGATGTTAAATGACAACTATTGGTGACGTCGTCATGCAAAGTAAACTGCATTTGTATTGTTGCATTCAATTGTGTTAGCTGTAATGCTTCCCATTCTTCGCAATGTCGTTTATTGTCCGAATCAGGGAAGTAATAGCATTAATGACAACTGACAATACTTATTGTGGATGTCAAAGCTTGCAAGGTAAAATAATATAAGATAGTTCCTCAACCGAATATAAAAACCGCCAAGACACTTAAACCCCTAAGATGAAAGCATTTAAGTCGAGAGATCCTTAAAAACAAAAAACATCGGATTCGGTATTTACCGATGTACGCTTGTGGCATCAGTGTAATGGTGAGATAGGAGCTTCACTATTATTACCAGATTTTTTAGATACCTCTTTTAGAAGCAGGGTTATTGGCAAAAAAAATTGGGAGTTACCTATTTCACCTCTTTAGATTCTTTGTTCATCTTCGACCCTTAAGATAATCGCATAATCTTCAAAAATAATTGGGTATTCGGTCCTAATTTAACGCCAAACAAAACAGAATCTTATTGAAATGATTTAGATAGAAAAATTAACCAAATCTAGTCATATTATTTCAAAATGTTTCAATTTTAGTTTAGCCAAAACCTAGTATATAATACCTACTCACTCACATATTGGTATGAAGTATGTAAGGCACACCAGCAACAACAACAAACCCATTATAGATAATAAATCAATTTATTTTCACAGTGAAACTGATCTCAGCCAACAGCAGTAAGGTTGATGTGCTGCTTCTGTTTTATTTTAGTAAGCGATTAGACTTTAGTCTATTTTTGATTATTTGTCGTCTTTGTGCCATTTGGAATAGAAATCAATGCAGTGACGTCGCTTTTATTGTACAACGATTGCACTCACTTATTTAATATACTACTTATCTTATCAGTACTATATGCTATACTTTTAATTAGTAAATTCTATTACTTAATGAAGAATATGGTATTTCCCACAAAACGGTCCGACTAATCAGAAATAAAGAATAAAAAAAGGACTACTCCATCCTTGGTTGTATGTATGATTTAGAAATTATGTCTGGAACATCGGAATAAAAATTGCATAAATTGGAACTAAAGGTAGAAATACATAAAGCGCAAATTTGGCTGGCTTCTTCGTAGATGAACAAAGCCTTTTAATTGTGTTGCGTACACTTTCCCATTCTAAAACAGAATTTCGCTTAAAACTTGTCTTGTTCTAATTTAATATTCAAAACCTTTTTTTTACTGAGCCGTCGTCATCAATTCCCCACCTTAAACTGTTATTCTCACGGATTTAATAATATTTCATATCTCGTTTGTAAACATCCATTTCAAACGCACTGTTACAGAAAGCTTTCGACATACAACCCTAACTATGCATTAACACCCCATACTCACCTCCGTAAGCTGAGCTTTATTTTCCTCTCACTCTGCTTGCCATGGTGAGTTAAGATTTTTTTTTGAACGATTTTAGATTGAATTCGTATTTAAGTAAATTTTCACCAACTATTCTGTTCAGTACTTTCTCAGAAAGAAGATCAAACATTTGTCAAAAAAGAAAAACAATTGTGTGTTGGAATAAAAATCGAAAGAAAAAAATACCAAGAGGTTGAAAATAGTTTTCATTGTTTTGTTTATGACTGAAAATGCTTAGCATACACAATTTTAGAATTACTCATGTTCAAAACCTGCTACAATGTTAATAAGTAGAGCAAAAAAGATTGGTTTATTCTCTGGTGCCTCAGATCCGAAAAGTGATCCCCCGCATCTGTCTAAATTTTTTATTGCCGTCTTCATTTTATCTATTAACAACCAAGTGTCAATTAATAGCAGTTTTGTTTCAAGATTATTCGGAAGCAGTAAAGCCATAATGAAGCCATTCGCCTAAAGAAATAAATACATCTTGTGATCGTACCAAGCAGCGCCTTTGGGCATACATTACCGCCAAGAACAATGTTTCACTCTTTAACTAATAAAAATCATCTGAAAGATATAAATTACGTGCTAATATGCGATTTCGCTGGGTTACCTAGGGAAAACCACAACAAAACACGATTATTCAGAGCGTCGTAATGGGGTCGTTTGAATATCATTTCATAACACGTTTCATTTCATATTCAATATCATTTCTATTCTAGGATGCCTTTTCCCGGTTTCAAAAGCATATACGAGACCTTGAGTCGTAAGAAACCCATCGAAGACTCCACCGAATCAAAGTTGGCCAAGGTTTTGTCGGCCTTTGATCTCACAACATTGGGCATTGGATCGACCTTGGGTGTTGGCGTGTACGTGTTGGCCGGTCAAGTCTCCAAGATTTACGCAGGTCCAGCAGTGATCTTCAGTTTTCTCATTGCCGCCATCGCTTCCATATTCGCTGGTCTTTGTTATGCTGAATTTGGTGCACGTGTACCAAGGGCTGGATCGGCTTATGTTTACAGCTATGTTACCATTGGAGAGTTCGTTGCATTCATAATTGGCTGGAATTTGATATTAGAGTATGCCATCGGTATGTATGAACCATAATGGTGTTGTATGTTTCATGTTCACAAGAACAGTGTCCGAAGCGAATTTTTCTGAACGACAGACAGTCAGATTAAATTACTGGTGTCTTTACAAATGATCAGCATTTAATTGAGTTGATTGATTTATATTCGTTCGGTCACATTCGCCACATACACACACGCGGACCGTTCTAATTGATCATTAAACAAGGCTATGTTTGGCAATAGCTGCGGCGGACACTATAGAAATTGAATGAATGCCGAAAAATAATGGAATTTAATTTATTTACTCCTCTCTTTTGTAGGTTCAGCCAGTGTGGTGAAGGGCTTAAGCTCCTATTTGGATAACCTGTGCGATCATGCCATGGAAAACTTCTTGGGAACGCATTTGCCCATGAATGTAGAGGGGCTGAATCATTATCCGGACATCTTTGCATTTGGCGTCACTATTATATTCGCATGGGCAATTGCAATGGGAGCCAAGGAGTCTACAAGGCTAAACACCGCATTCACGTTATTGAATCTCAGTGTGGTATTGTTTGTTATCATCGCTGGTTTGTTTAAAGGTAGAGTACAATCGGCATTATCGTATCTTCGAAATTAGCCTTTAAATATGTCTGTTTTATTTCAGTTTCCACCAAAAATTGGGCCATACCCAAAGAAGATGTTCCCGCTGGCTATGGTGAGGGTGGTTTTGCCCCATACGGCTTTGCTGGCATTATAAGAGGTGCTGCCATATGCTTTTACGGCTTCATTGGTTTCGATTGCATTGCCACTGCCGGCGAAGAGGCTAAAAATCCAAAGAAATCCATTCCCTTTGCTGTCATCACCTCTTTGGCCATGGTGTTTTTGGCCTATTTTGGTATTTCAACCGTTCTGACTATGATGCTGCCTTACTATGAACAAGATGAAAGTGCGCCTCTGGTGCATGTCTTTAGCATTTATGGCTGGACAGCGGCAAAATATGTGGTGTCAATAGGAGCCATTTGTGCCATGTGTACAAGTTTGATGGGTTCAATGTTTCCACTACCACGCATTGTGTATGCCATGGCCACAGATGGTTTGCTATTCAAATTTATGGCTGAAATCAGTTCCAAGCACAAGACTCCGCTGAACAGCACCCTTCTTACGGGATTTTTAACCGGCGCCTTTGCTGCCATTTTCAATTTGAAACAATTAATGAATATGATGTCGATTGGCACATTTCTGGCCTATTCCATGGTAGCTGCCTGTGTTTTGATTTTGCGCTATGAATGCGACGACAGACGGGACAGTCGTCATATGAGCAACGGCCGCGTCTTAACAGATCAGGGCGATGCCGATTGCGGATTCCTAAAAATGTTGTTTAATAGCTCCAAATCAATTGTGCCCACCAAGACAACATCGCGCATTGTTGCAGTAATGATTTCTTTGTATGGTAAGTTGTCCTCAACACGATGCTATGTTAAATTGCAGTACAAATAAAGTGGTGTTTCCTTTCAGTTGGCCAATGCATAATACTGACACAAGTGCTGTTGCCCTTCGAAGAAGATTACGTCAGCGTTACTGCCGTTGACATTACCAAACTTGCGTTAAGTCTGGTATTCCTGATCGTTACATTGTTTATAATTTCACGCCAACCTGTGTCCTCATCCACACTGGCCTTTAAGGTCCCCTTTGTACCATGGCTACCCGGCTTCTCCCTGTTGATTAACATCTATCTCATGATCAAATTGGATATTATGACTTGGGTACGTTTCAGCATTTGGATTGTCATCGGCTTGATGATATTCTTTGGCTACAGTGTGCGCAATAGCCGCATGCGTCACAGGGAATTGAAATGTCTAGCTGAATCCGAGTCCAGAGATAGAAGTGAAGTGGATTCAGTCTCATCGTTACACCACGATGAACGTTTTAGCACACAAGTGCCGTTAATGGTTATGCATACTGCAAGTTAATCTCTCTAGGGTATTTGATATTGATATTTTTAAGGAGCCAATGTTTAATATCTTTGCCACTTATTTTATATCTCACACACATTCATCTCATTAGGCATTGTGTTTTGTAATTAAACTGCAACAATTGCAACGAATTGAATATATTGTAAAGACATTTAGTTTTCGAACATGAATTTGAATCGCAAGTGGTCTTGTGATTTGTACTTAACTGAATTGAATATTTTTTTTTTATGTTTTGTTGTTTCAAAACAAAATTGGTTTTTAATTATTTGTATTATGTTATTACTATTATTACTTTAAAATAAGATAAAATGACAAATTATAAAAATAAAAGTATAGTATTTTATTTATATTAAAAAAAAACTACAAAAATCGTTTGTTCATTTATCTTTTAACAGAAATTGTTAGAATGAATACAATCCTGTATATGTAAGGGAATCCTTATGCATTCGATTAATTCGTTTTAACCACTTGGTTTCTCGAATTTATTTCACTTTTAATTGAAGACCGTTCCGATTTATGGTACTGATCAATTTAATTTAGTTACAGCTGCTCTCCACCGCTATTTTGTATTAACTGACGATATTTAAAAGCAGTAGCAACAAGCTCCCTTGGCTAACTTTTTGTAAATACTACTACTACTTGTTGGATTTCTTTGTTCATTGATGGGCAACATTTTTTCGCTGGATTCTGAGCTGGCAATGCTACACACTTTGGTTGCTAATTGTCGTTGGCATTTGAAACCATGTCTAAATCGATTTCACATAAAGTGGAAATCGTGCATACTTTTAGGATGCATACAATTTCGTTCCTACTTTCTTACTAGACAGTGAACAACAATAAATGTTTTAGTAAATATTATAGCTGCATTTTCTTACTTTGTGGGACGTATGTTCCAATTAATAAAGGTAGAGGAAGGGGGCAATTGTTACCTAATGCTGAAAACTTTGTGAGCATTTAGTAATATTTATGGGAAAACGTCAACAAAGAGTGGGTTGTATAGCATTTTTGTAAATTTGTATTTTCTTCTTTTTTCTAATACCTTTATTTCAATTTTAGAATTTTGTAGAATTCCTAACCAATCATTTTATATTAAAAAAAAAATTAAAAACGAATCAACTGCTGTTCAACAATCAGCTTTAAAAAGATAAGCGTGTAATGTATGTAGCAGTAGATATCTAATCTTGGCGAATCGTTGTCGACTATCATTACGAGATAAACTCTGTCGAATGGCAAAAGTGATTTCAAAATATCAACTGAGGCCACTATGGCTTCTTTATTTTATGAAATAAAAATGTGACTCACAATCAAAAATATATACAAATTGATAAGTGGATTTGTATCGGTGCCATGATCAGCTTTTTGGCCATGAAATTTGGATTGTATTGAAATAATGATCAAGAAATCCAGTGGCTAAACCAAAATAATAATAATTATAATTTTCAACATAAAAACTGACATCAAAATACGCTAATCAGGTTATGTTTCAGATCTCAGTATCAAAAAACTCCCTCACATTTGTTTTTGTTAGATATTGAATGATTTTTGGTCGCATAATGGGCCCTTATCTTGGGCCCATAATCATTATTCATTATAGGATGTATGCTATTTTTTAATGACATAAAATAACAATATTTAATGGCACATATATCAAAAACCCATCTGAACGAAAAATTCCAAAAACTGTTCTTCCATTTGCCATCCATATTCTCAAAACATTGTTAATCATTAAAACCCCAAGCATGTACCTACACTCTAATGCCGGGCGTTAATCATAAGCTTCTGTTTTGTATTCCAAAAATGTTAAACATGTGACGTCCGAATCGCATTTTTTTGTTTGCATCCAATTTATTTTTAAAAATTCTCCCCTCTGACCAGCGAATATTCCAAATGTTATACTTTGGTGAGTATGAAAGTGCATGTTTTTGATTGCCCGATTAAATAAAAAAGCTACAACAATATTTTGATATAATTACCCGAATTATTGGAGGAGTATCATCAACCGATCAGGTATGCGACCGACGACTTCGTATGTAGGTCTGTATTAACTAGAATGAATGTGTGTTTATCTGTTCGTTCGTTTGTTTGTTGACACTTGTTTTTCTTTGCACTGCGAGTTGTTGTTGTTGATGTTCTTGCTACTTTTATTTAGGCATTTCTCGAGCCCGAGCCAGCGTCGTTCACGGCTATCTTGCCAGGTACTTGATGCCGGCAGTAACAATTAGTAAATTAGTCTTATTTTAGAATTGAAAACAATTGGAACGACGTTGAATGGGATCGCAAGTTTAAGTCCCACACCGATTGTACCGCAGCGTACCTGTATCACTTTTTGTTTTGCTCTCGGTCCCGATAATAAAAGTAAAGTAAAGTACGGCAAAAACAACGAGAATTGAATTGTTATTATTTTTTTAAATAAAACGAAAACAGTACGAAAGAGAATGTGCGAATGCGTGTGAGAGATACATATCTGCTTCGTAACGATTTGTTTACATAGCCGTGTTAGATACGATCCAGACGACAACAACACCAACAACTATACATATAATATTATGACACAGGCTGTCCGCATCCTTATCAGTGACACTGGCAGTATCATTGTCATCTAGATTTTGAATGAAAAAGAAATGAAAAGTTTTGACAAAATTAATTTGAATGAAAAAAAAAACAAAAACAAAAAATTAAATCACACCAAGAGCGGAATTTAATGAATTTAGCTTTGTACCTCCACACAAACATACATCTATCCATTATTGATTGCATGTTCAAAACTGAAAGTGACCGCGATCGTCAACCATTCAAGCGTATGAATAAAAATAACAGCCGGGTTATAGATATTTATTAATGACGTAGTTGACAGTGTACTAACGAATATAAATAAGTATGTAGGCTTGTGTGTAGTTCTATGAGTGCATCCCAATTAATATTACAATTTTTTTTTGTAATAGCGAAGATGCAACGGTTGAATAGTACCTATTTATTATTAGTAACGCATGGAAACAGATGTTGTTATTAGACTTGAGTAATTTTCATACTTATTCTCATACACTGCCAATCATTATTATATGTACACTCCATTAGAGAAGAATCTCGTTTTAACTTGACCGTTTCTTATACCCTCCACCATGTGGCTAGAGGGGGTATATATCATTTGATACGGCCAAAACGTGCCTCATCGAAATAACGAGTTAAGACTCTAAGTCTCTTTGGACCAAACCGTTTTAAGACATTTGGAGTCTATTTAGCGATGTCCGTCTGTCTGTCTGCTGGCTTGGGCGCACGATAACTCTTGAAGGGAGCATTCCATTTGGTCCAAACATGGTACATTGTAATACTATTATCAAATTTAGGTCAAGTTCGGAGTTGGGCAATTTCGGCCCACTCCTTCTGGTACCTCCCGCACAAAAGGAAGAAATTTAAAAAAAATCCTGTATAGAAGGAGAAAGGATGATCCGATTTGGCTCCAACTTTGCAAATCCTAATATTTCCATCAGTGTTACGTCAGGCTCGAAAATGACAATATCGATTCAAGTACCTTCCCCCAAAGGGTCCAAATTTTGAATAATTATAACTCTAATAAAATGTTATGTAAGATTCCGATTGCCTTCAAATTACGAACAACACAATATTGTTATTAATACAAAGTCTGGTGTGAAGATGGAATTTATCGGTCCACTCCTTCTGGTACCTCCCTCACAAAAGGGTCAACATTTTCAATATCCATGAAGCTCATAAAAAGCGAAATTAACATCCAATTCCATTCAGACTTGGTACATCTCAATATTTCCATCAACACAAGATCTGTTTTAAATATAGTAGAGATCGGATCATTTCTTTTGGTACCTCCCCAAAATAGGGTTCAAGATTTTGAAAAACAAAACGCTCAAGAGAATGCGAAATAAACGTCCAACCCTCTTCAAATTTCATGTTTCGTCATTTTATTTTGGAAATGGGGTCTCAATCTCTTTGTTTCAACTTTTGCTCACGTTGTTATTCTAACAATAGAAAAGTCTTAGGATTTTTTTCAAGGACTTTCTTGTACTTTTTCCCTTTTTCGCTTTTTTGTTTAAACTTAAAGAAGTAATGCCCTCAATCACGATACACATGTACTTATCGTAATGACCCGGAGTGTAAGTCGTTTAGTTAAATATTTTAACAGCAGTTAAGACATCATTAAAACAGCAGCCCAGTTAGAATATTTGCAATGGGAGAAAGAGTCAATTTTGTTTCTTTAAATTGAGGAGAGAAAACTCACCTACTCAGCAAAATATTTCATAAAGCTGTTACAGATTCTCTCTTCAATCTGACGTTTGAGAGAAGTCTCTGTTCTTTACGCCGTTATCACTGTGGTAGTATAACTGTCTCGGTTATTTATTTACGTATATTGGTGTTGTTGTATTCTTATCAGTATCATTGAGATACATTTATTGTCTTTCAAATGATGAGTTCTTCTTCTCGTCGTCATATCTTTTTACATTCGCTTCATACGGGTGTGTCGGTGTGTGCGTGCGTGTTGGCGAGTGTTATTGTTGCTGTTGTTTTGACATTTTTGCAAATATTTTTCCTTTTTATTCTTGCCTGCCTGCCTGGCTGCCTGCACTTCACTTCTGTGTGTTCTGGCTTGTACTTAGAAGAAAATGATGAACCGTAGAATGTCGATCAGTTTAAACGCTCAGTGAACGTTGAGCCAAGCGGTTAAGGGGTGCTTAAAAATAGGCGATTTGCCAGTGTAACGTGCGAACAAAATTGAAATTAAAATAAAATTAAAGAAATGAGTGTGGAATTGATTAAACATTGAAGAAAGTGTTAAGAATTGTTGAAATTGTTGCCACAGTAAATATATACCCACAACAAATTTGTTTGCCTCAACTCCTCCTCCACAGCATTTGGGAAACTCTTTGCCATCGTTTAAAAGGTGAGTCAATTCGAGGTTTGTTTACATTTGACTGCCATGTTGGTAGAAAGATATGCAATTTCCTCTTTAATTGTCTATTAATAAATGGCTTATCTTTATTGTTTAAAAAAATAGGCAATGGTTTTTTTGTTGTTTTGCTTCGCATATCAATTTCGGCTGAATTGTTTTTGTTACTAAAAACAAAAAACAAATCAATTAGGGAATAGTTTAATTGTCACATGCTTCTCTGAGCATTATGATTGATTGTTCCAATTCCACCACCACCACAAACTCTAATAGGAGGATGGACGCACTATATAACGGTCAATTCTTATCGTAAATAAACAGTTACACCATTTGTGGTATTTTTTGTTGTTTCCATACTTCTTGTTGACTTTTCTTATTTGATTAAGTAATAGTATATCTTTTGTAATGTATTAGATACTTAAAGGAACAAAAAGTTGAGAAGAGCGCCATTTTTGGACGAGCCCATATTCTTATGCTTTTCAGCATGAGAAAAAATATTAATTGCAATAAGAAAGGTATTTTAACTTTTAAGAATAAAAACAAAATATTTTCAAAATCACCACCATAGTATAGAGGGTCTATTAAGTTTGTCATTCCGTTTGTAACACCTCGAAATATACATTTTAGACCCCACAAAGTATATATATTCTTCATCGGCATATAATTGTTTATTTAGCGATGTCCGTCCATCTGTCCGTCTGTGGAAATCACTCTAGCTTCCGAACGAAATGAAGTAGGTAGATATAATTTTACTCAAATTAATATTATATCTGCAGGACTTTTGGTATTGAAAATGGGTCATGTGGGTCCACTTTTTGGTATAACCCCTATTTAACATTGCCCCCTATATTCGGTACATTGATGATTTTAGCGACACTATTCACCGGAATTGTTTCAAATTTGGTATTTGGAGTTCATAATGGATACTACAGCCTATGACAGAAAACTGGCTATGCAAGTCCACGTTTTGGTATAGCCCCAATATAATAGTACCTCCCTATTTTTGGTATTTTGATAATTTAATGATGCAAGTCCACGACGTCGTGTATACCTTAATAAAACGGCCACATTCGGTATTTTGATGATGCAGGTCCACGACGTAGTATAAACCCTAATATAATGGCCACATTAGGTATTTTTAAGATTTTAACAGCATTTTTGATGGATTTTAGTTTTTTGAAAATTGCCAAATTCGTTCCAAATGGTGGAGAGTATTCAGAGTTCGGTCCGGCCGAATATACAGGAAATGCTGATTGGACTTGTAGAAAATCCTATCAGAAAGATTTGAATAGCAGAGAACGCTTTTTAACGCATTGCAAAAACTGCTTAAAACATCGAACAAGTATACCCTCATTTGTTCGATTTTACTCGCGAATGAAAAAATACTCACGAGGATTGCTCTCCACTCTTTTGTTTTATGTGGGAGCGCTCGCAAGTACTCCTATTTCAATAATAAGAGTGTAAGTCGGAGTGTTCGAAATAGAGTAAAAAAAAAAAACTAAGAATCTGCTTGGCAAGAGTAAAACCAGCTTAATACCCTCGCTTTTCTCTCGAATTTGAGAGGGTTTCACTCCCTATTCGAATTTTAGCGATCATTTCGGAGCTCTGTTAAGAATACAGTATACAATAGGGCTGCAACAATCCCAACATTTTTTTTCTTAAGTTCTGTTTAATATTCATGGTAAGAATGGTCAAGAAAAGTGTTCAAGAAACTCAAATGAATTGTTTTAAAATATCCGAAATTTTTTGGCCATCACATATACAACCCTGTCAGATTTTGATGATTTCTCTGAGATATTCTTGATACAAATTCTTTGAAATTCCCAAATTTTTTCTATGATAGAAAATATACAAAGAATAACTTCTCAGAAATGAGAATTTAGGCCGAAAGGATTATTGCTTGGCTATTTGTGCAAGCTTATATCTTACCCCAATATGTTATTGTTCGTCCCCCCTCCCCTTTTCTTTGTTTTTGTTGTAGTAAATCTAGCCACACGTTAATTTCTTATCATTGAAGAGAGATTTTTAAGTATTTCGTCTTTTGTTTGCACATGAAATATTTTCGTAAATATATTTAAAAATTAAAAGAATATAGCGAATGACCTTGGAGATAAAATTAAATTTTTCTCTAGTATATTTTTTTGCAAGAAATTGGTTTAAAAGAGATCAGATATTGGTAATACGGGAGATTTTTTTATTAGTTGAACTTTTATGTGGAAAATGTTAAAATATATTTGTTACTTTCAACACAGCATAACAGATGTTTCAACGTTGCATGTTTCTGCTGATTTTATGCTCCAAATTCTTAAAATAGATTATATTATTCCCTCCTGAGGAAGAGATAATGAATCCTACATAAATAACGGTTCAACGTCCATGCATGCAATCACTGAGACATTAACATACGCCCCACTTGGGCTGCACATTGGCGTTGACTCAGATCTGATCTGCTGTTCCATGTCTTGGTGGTGGTGATATTGTCCCAACAATGAATCTGAGCCGTCTAATTCTACAATGGAAACTGGAACGTAGTGTCTGAAATGAAATTAGATTTACGATTGATTTTATAAAACGACGTAGATTTTTTATTGGCATTTGTGACCGATCGAAAATTCAGATTGTAGGCGGCATTGAGTAATGAGCATTGCTTTACATTGCATTCGCCAGTCGCAGCAATAGCTGCTGGCGTTCTTGGACCATAAAACCAGTTACGTGTAGTTTACGAAGGATTTTTATTCCGAAGATAAGCTATGGCGTACTGTGTCCATGGTCTGTGTTAAAAATATAATAAAAATTGTCTTCCAGTTTTACTAGAATAGACTAGAGCTCATATGGTTTTGCAATGGAAGCTTGCCGGTCGCAAATTTACTATAATCTTGTATACAATTTCAATTTTAAAGGAAACTAAAGGGAGCTTCGATAATTTTCGTTAACTAATGTTAAAAAACGAAGAACTCCCTTAACGCATTTTGATTAGGTCGTACTTGTCCTAATTTTTTTTTAAGAGAAATGCTGCCAAGCAATTTTTCTGCAAGTATGGATCCACCTTTAAATTGAAACCATGTCGAGTACCATGTCTCAAATTACACCTTTAAAGATTGTAGAAAAGAAAATAGAGTTTTTAGGAGAGAGGTCGGAGGAAAAAATACAACTCCAACTCCATAGAACTCCTTCCTTTCCCATAAGACTCACTTTTTTTTAGTTTCCGGAACCTTGTAATTCCTCTTTTACCAGAAGTTCTGCGAAGCTATGGTGCCAAATATGCAATGTTTAATTTTTTAGGAGCAATTTTTTATGAATATCAGGTCTAAGTTTGACATAAATCAAAGTTATTGTCAAGCTTTTTTCGGAATATTTTCAAGGAAAGTTAAGACAAGATTATAGCACTTTTTCGAATATATTTTTGAAGACTACTGTTAAAATTTGTATTGTATGTCCGCTGAAAGACTAATATAGCGTGTTCCAGCCGACTATCATAGTACAATCAAAGATTTGTCGAAGAATATCTTTCCAACATTCTTCAGAGCAATAATCGTTTTTTTTTTTTTAATAAAAAAGTCAATTATTTTTTTTTTCTGACCAAACGCAATAGAATTCATTTTTATATACTCCAGAACGTATGCAATAGAATCCATCCAAAATTGTTCATTTTTATACATTTTGGCACATTTTTATATGAAAAAGTTCATTTTTTTGTCCTTAAATAATACCCAAAATCTCCCCACCCCATGATGAATTGAAAAAGTGCCATCTCATTAATCTGACAATGTATTACTAGTATGAGGATTATTCTTCTGAATGTCAATACACCTTCGAAAAATGTTGAACTTTTTAAATAGGTTATCAAGACGTCACAGCTTCTTAGATCACATCCATCTTCGCAATACCCCTTCAACATTGTTTTGAGCTATTAATTTCCCTTACATCACGCGGGATATGTCACTCTTTTTTTATTGACTTCCGCTTTTTCCCATTTTTTTAAATGAGATTTTTGACCTTGGCCAAATAATGTATGGCAGGAGAATGCCTTAATTTTTCTTGCTGAAATGGAATCAAAGTTTATCTGTGACCAACCCCACTCGAATCGTATCAATGTCGAAAAAATAACAATGAATGTGACAAAAATGATTCGGCGGCAGTGCAATAGCTTCTGTTCTTTGTTCTTAAATTCGATGTGAGTTAAATTTATAATTCTAAATTTGTTTGTTTTTTTATTTTCAGTTCCACTCCCAAAGTCAAAACATCAAGAAAATGGTCCAACAGCCTTCGTATTGGAAGGTCTTGACTCGTCGGAAACCTTTGTCCCAGGAGAGTGGCGATGGCGAGGGAAAACTGAATCGTGTCTTGGGCTTGTATGATCTCACAGCCTTGGGTGTGGGTTCCACATTGGGCGCCGGTGTCTATGTACTGGCTGGGCAAATTGCCAAAGATCAAGCTGGCCCCTCGGTTATACTTTCGTTTGCCATAGCCGCATTGGCATCGCTCTTAGCAGGTAATTGAACACGCATCAGCGATTCTCATAAATTGCATATTTCTACATCGCTAATGTGGTTTTACCCCATATCAGCTGATCTATTTATATGGATTTCATTTTCATTGTCTGCTAATTTTCTTTATTCGCCCCTCCATCTCCCCGACCAGGTGTCTGCTATGCTGAATTTGGCGCCCGTGTACCCAAAGCCGGCTCAGCGTATGTCTATAGCTATGTGTGCATTGGAGAGTTTGCCGCTTTTGTCATTGGCTGGAATCTGATATTGGAATACATGATTGGCACGGCAGCGGTGTGTCGCGGCATCAGCTTGTATCTGGATACATTGATCAACGACACCTTGAAAACTACTTTCGCTGAAATATCACCAATGAATGCCTCATTTTTGGGTAGTTATTTCGATTTCTTTGCATTCGGATTGGTGGTGGTGTTTGGAGGTAGGTTTTGGTAACATAAAATGTACGATTCAATGTTGTTAATAACTTTTTCTTTGTTTATTTAAAACAGTGGCCCTTGCTTTCGGCGTGGAAACATCGGCAATTGCCAATAACTTTTGCACCTGTCTGAACCTGTTCATTTTGGTTTTTGTCATTGTTGCTGGAGCCATCAAATGTGAGTATTGGCAATATGTATATTTAATATGAAGCTCTTATCGATACCGCCAATTTACCTGCCAGTAGACCAGAAGCTTGATATGTCAAATTTTTCACTATTTATTTCCCTTTTCATTATTCCAGCAAGCTGGTCCAACTGGACCATTGATCCCAGCACTACAAATACCACAAATCTACCCGAGGGCACCGATCTGGGTTTGGGCGGTTTCTTTCCATTCGGTTTCACTGGCACCTTGAAGGGAGCTGCCACTTGTTTCTTTGGTTTTGTGGGCTTCGATTGCATAGCCACAACGGGTGAGGAGGTACGCAATCCAAGGAAAAACATTCCTCGTTCCATTTTACTATCACTGCTGGTCATATTCCTGTGCTACTGTGGTGTTTCGACTGTCCTTACGCTGATGGTGCCCTATTACCTGCAAGATGCCAATGCTCCTTTGCCCAGTGCCTTTAAGGAGGTGGGCTGGAATTTCGCCATGTGGATAGTATCGATTGGTGGCTTGGTTGGTCTATTGGCCAGTTTATTTGGTGCCTTGTTTCCACTGCCCAGAGTAATGTATTCCATGGCTCAGGATGGTTTGTTGTTTCGCTTCTTGGGGCGCATACATCCACGTTACAGAGTGCCGGTAATTGGGTCCATCTTTGCAGCAATACTAACCGGTGAGTCCAATGCGAGATACTTCTTTTTTCTTTTTTTAAAGCAGTCTTTCATAAATTCTAGCATTAATTGCCGGCTTATTTGATCTGGCCCAATTGGTGAATCTTCTGTCGATCGGTACTCTATTGGCCTACAGTGTTGTGGCCATATCCATTACCATCCTCCGATACATGGACAATTCCGAGACGTTTGGCAGCCATGAAATAATTGCTGAAAACGGCCATGCCAATGGTGGTAATCACAGCCATGTGAACGGCAATGGCAATGGCCACAATGTCTCGGAACATTCCTTGTTGACTTCCAAAGGCGAACGGGCCACATTTAAGTCAGTATTATTGCAGTTATTTAACTGTCGCCGAGTTGATGTACCCAATGCACTGACCACCCGAATTGTGGGTAGTCTCATCACATTGTTTTGTAAGTATCCGATGAACTCCTTCTCCGCACGAATTCACGTAATTCTCTATCCTTTTCCCAGGTTTTCTATCCATGGGCATTGGTCTGATATTTATGCAGGCCTATGATGCCTTGATCAACAACCAACTTTGGGTTTTAGTATTGCTGATCGTTTTGGTGGTATTCACTTTGCTGGTGCTTATTGCGATATGTTTACAGCCTCGAGAGGCCTATGCCCGAGTCTTCAGAGTACCGCTTGTCCCCTTGGTGCCTGCCATCAGTATATTTATCAACATATATTTAATGCTACAGCTGGACGTAATGACGTGGATCAGATTTGGCGTCTGGATGGCCATTGGTAAGTTATGGAATGTGGGAGGGCTTTCTACATTTGCATCATCTTCATTCATTCACCCGCTCGTTCGCATGACACACTCATCAACCAACTAACCCCACTCGAATGCACGCTCTCTCTCTATGTTTTGGTATCTCGTAGTCTACTAATCTGGTTAACATTATTGTCACACTAGGTATACCTATGTTTATTGCATGTTGGTGCATGTATGATATAAAAAATCCCGCCAAGAGACACCCTGAACGCGTGGAATTCGAGAGATTGCTCAAATCCAGTCGGGGTGGTCCGGGCATAGCCGATAATTTCAAAGCCGTGTCAAATGTCTCCACCGCCACAACGGTGGTGATGCAGCAGAACGAACGCTCCGTCAAGAGTTTGGATGAAATAATGGACATGAATGAGGTCAGTGATGACCTGATGGTCATCAAGCAGCCCAATGGCCAAATAAACTATGTGGAGGACACCAAAAGTGACAAGTCCCACAGCTCGGTCCAAGCTGCCAAAGAGCCAGGCGAATTAACGATTGCGCCAGTGGCCACTAAAATGGACACGACAACCGAAGAGGAGAAATCTGTCATAGCCATGTTGGATGATGTCCTGCAAACTGAGGATGACGGTCTGTACGACACCCCATTCTATGATCGTAAGATTAGTGTCGATTCTGAAATGGTGCCCAGTGTGATCAGAAGTACCACAGTGGCCACTGTGCATAGTAGCAGTAGTGATAGTTCTGAAATAGAGGAGGGCACAGAGGACAACATTACACCCCCCAGTGTGGATTCAGGAATACAGGAAAACTATCAGGAGAAACAAAAAATAGCCATGGAATTGGTGGAAGAAATTCTGAATAGTCCTCGGCTGTGGATGGCCTTGGAAAAGCATCAAGAGGAGCAGAAGCGAAAGCAACTGGCCAGTGATATGCCCAGTTCCATTTCTCCTGAACATCGTGCCCAGTCTGTGGAGTCTTTACACTCAGTGGCCTCCGTGGAAGATCCTTTGCACTCGGAGAGGTTTCGCAATAAATTGAGTCAATTGATAATGAAACCACCAGAACCCAAACCCCCTAAAGAATCCACGACCGCAGATGAATTTACCAATGAGCGACCCAAACTCAAACATTCCAAAAGCGAAGCGGATGTTAGAAAATTAGTTTTAAAAGCCATCGAAGGCTGCGATATCGACATCGACAATGACCCTCAAGCGGGCACAACAAGCTCCCAACAAAACATACCCAAACCTCCCAAATTCGATCCGGTGCTTTATAAAACCATTAACACTCTGGGTCGACAAAGGGAGCGTCCTAGCCTAGATAAACTCCTGAGGCAGGACGAACAGTCCAAACCCAGGATATTTGTGGAGTTAAGTGAACCACAATCCAACGACGGAGAAGAAGTTCCTTTCAAACAAAAACTAGAGGCCATCTTGAAACGTGGCCCATCTCACAAAACCCAAACCAAACCCGAAGTGGAAGTTCGCAGACCCAGATCTGCCGAACCCCACCAACAACAAGAAGAGGAGAAGCCGCAGGCTCCCCGAGAGAATTTAACCAAGTCACAAAGCAATCTCAATGCACTATCGGCCAGCATGATCAATGAAACTCGTAGAACGTTAAGATCGGTCAAACAGAAACAGACGACCGAATTATAACATTAACCCGGCTTTCTAAATTAGCAAATCTTTAACTAATCCAGCACCTCAAACCACCTAACCTCAAAAAGTTAACACAAACGAAATGCATGAAGCCCCCGTTTGGCATGGTTACAAAAAAAACAAACAAACAAAACACAGCAACAACAACAACACAAACCAAACTAGTCCTTAACTCCTTAATGTCTCAAAACCGTTATCTTATTTATTTCTCCTCTTTCTTCCAATCCCCCACGATTGATGCACAGGTCTGGCCATTTACTTCTTTTACGGTCTTCCCAACAGCTACAGGGACCTGAAGAGACAGCGTCTGGGCTGGCAAAAGTTAAAATACAGTGAATATTTTTAGGCACTCCAAAGAGCGCTGCCAAGCAAAAGCATCCGCTGACAACTGGTGAGGCTTTCCACCGCTCTTCAATCCGGCCATCGGGAAATGGGAAGAGTCTGTTTTCAGAATGGCAAATTGATGCATGTCCTGTATTTGTCATCATATTCATTTTGGAATCAGATTTAGAATTAAGATGTGCGCATGTGTGCGTGTGTGTAGATTTAGAAACTGTTTGTATAGAACTAAGTTTTAAACAATAGCAACAAAAACAAACAACATATTGTGTAAGTTTTTCTTTTTGGTCTGAATAAAACAAAATGTGTGTCATATTTAAGAAGAGACAGAATCGGGATTTGAATGTTTTTTGGGATATTGAACGAGGCCTTTTTATTTAAATACATTTCAGATCAAGCCTTTAAACAAGACATCTTTTTCAGAACCATACTTCTCCAGGAAAAAAGTACTCTCTAATAGTACGTCAATGGTTCCTGTACTATAGCATGCGTTTCTGTTACTCTCTCTCCCTCTCCCTTTCTCTCTTTCTTACCTTTAAAAAACTAATTACAATACTGTTCAAAAGACCGCTCACCAATCAATTTATCATTGCTTTGAGAAATCATCAACAAATCAGTCTTCAAACATTATGATACCCTCCACCATAGTATGGAGAGTATATTAAGTTTGCTATTCCTCGAAATATACATTTTAGACCCCACAGAGTAATATATTCTTGATCAACATAAAATTCTTTATCGATTTAGCGATGTCCGTCCGTCTATGGAAATCACTCTGGTTTCCGAACGAAGTGAGGTAGGTTGATGAAATTTTACTCAAATGCATATTATGTCTGCAGGACTTTTGGTCTTGAAAATGGGCCATGGTATAGCTCCCATATAATGGTACCTCCTTCTTTCGGTATTTCGGTGATTTTAGCGACATTTTTCATCGGAAATGTTTAAAATTTTCTATTTGTACAGTCCACGCCTTCTTACAGTTCCCATATTACTGTACCTCCCGATATTCGGTACATTGTTAATTTTACCAAAAAATTTCACCGGAATTGTTTCAAATTTGGTATTTGGAGTTCGTAATGGATACTATAGCCCATGACAAAAAATTGTCCGTGCAGGTTCACCCCTTCGTATAGCCTCCATATAACGGTACCTCCCTATATTCGCTATTTTGATGATTTTAGCGACATTTTTTTAAAGTTTCGCATTTGAATATTGTAATGGCTTATGACAAAAGTTGCAGGTCCATGTATATAATATAATAATGAAAATTGCCCAATTGTCGAAATGGTGGAGGGTATTCAAAGTTCGGCTCGGTCGTGCTTACAGCTTTTTTCTTGTTTATTTTTTTATTGTCAGTTATTTGCTTTATTAATAATTTTGGACGAACTTCATATTTAAAAAAAAAATGAAATAAATCGAATTCAAAGAAAAACATCACATTAATTTTCCTTTAAATATTCGTTCTTGCGGACTCATGTGCTAGCCCACGTTTTTGAGCAGCCATGCTAATAAACCAATGCTGAGCTAAAAGTATTCCAGCGCAAGTGATCAATTTCTCTTAGTTTTTGTTAAACAACCAACCAATCAATGTCTACGTATTATTCGTTTAATTATTTTAAAACTAGCTTTGATAAAATTTAAAGAACACAGCAAAGACAAATAAATTGCAAAATGTAATAAAAAAATGAAATTTTTATTTTCTCTTTAACGATCTCTTATATGATTTTACTCAATACTGTAATAAACCAGGGGTGCTCAAAACCGTGTTCTAGAACATGAAGAGAAAAAAGAGATAATTTAAGAGAAAATTAAAATTCTGTTTTTCTTTATATTTTACTGTTCTATTTAATTGTTTTTAAACACGAATGTTTGCCAAAATAGTTTATAAAGCAAATGGATAAAAAATATTTGTATAAATAATGACTTAACACTGTTTTGTTCTTGATTTAAATAAGCAAAGAGAAAATTGACTGAAAACAGATATTTCTTCTTGAGCACCCCTGAATAAACACACATACACCCTCTAGAAAATGTCTCCTTCATTTTTTTCTCCATGGAGTAAAAAATAATTACTTCTCTCAGATATTATTAACAATTAACAATTCACTCTTTCACTTTTTATCAATGAAGCGAAAGCAGAACAATTTAATCGTCATACCTACAATCCAAAAACAAACAATTGCATTAGTTCTTAGGCATTTTTACTATTTTTTTGTTTAAAATGACTAAAAATGTTTAAATTCCACACAAGAACATTTTTCTGAAATTCTCTTACGAACATCTTAGTGATGAAGATGTTCGTAAGAGAATGCCCATCTTATTATTATTAAATGCACAATAGACATATTTTTTCAAAATAAACAGAAATATATTTTCTTAATTGCGGCTACTTAACTAGATTTTCTTTTTTTTTAATTTAAAACTAAAAACTAACTAATAAACAAGTTTATACTCAGACAGAGAAAATTCAAAGAGAGGCGGCAAAACAATAGCGCACCTCTCTCTCTTTAATTTGTTGATTAAATGTATATTAAACGATTGCATCTAAAGGCTTAAGTTTTTTTTCAAATACTATTTTAAATTATTTTACTTTTACTACAACTGAAGTAGAACACCCGAACAATTCATCTATTGTTGTAGAGCACTTTGGGGTGGTGTCAGCGGCGTCCAGGTGTTGCCTGATGCAGAAGTATTTTGTACAGGAGCTGAGACGGGGACGGAGGGATCGACTGAGGGGGCTCTTAGATGGCCATTGGCATTGGCCGATGATAGAGTTTCCAGTTTAACCGAATTCTCAACAGCATGGGGCGCATGGGACGCAGCGTCTGCCTTGAGGCTGTTACATTCCAAGGTCAAGACTGTGGTGGGTTCTTCAGGGGTTCTGTACAAGGCATTGTGACTGGCATTGTCCATGATTTTGGTGACTTCGACTGGTTCCAAAGCGGGTGGGACATAAGTGCTGCATGGTTGATGAGTGAAAAGAAAAATCATTGATAACTAAACTACATTTTGTTAGAAAATTGCATTATCCAGAGAGAAGAAGGGGTTGAAGGGAGAGAGAACGGAAAAGTTCGATTATGTAACTTACCCAATTTCTGAAACTAGGGGAATGTATTCCGTTTGATAGGCATAAGCAGCTGGATTTTGATATAGACCATAGTCGGCGGCAGCACCATTGTGCCATGATGTGCTGGGATAAGTCAGGGCACTGGGTCCATTCAAAACATTCGAGTAGAGCTGATGTGAGGTGGGTGACGTGGGTGTGGGATGATAAACTTGATGAGCTGGGGCGGCATATGATTGGGTGGTGGGCGAAACACTTTGGTACATGTCGGCAGAATGGCTGACCGTTGGCTGGGCCATGTTATACTGATGGGCATGGCCATGGGGAGTCAAGTGATGAATCGTGTAACCGGGGGAGGGTGTAGTGTAGGTGGGGGAGCCATTGTTTGTGGGCGAGGGAGAATTGTGGGAGGCTACGGGAGAAACGAAAGAAATAAGTACATTTCACTTTGATTTCGAAATGGTATTGTTATACTTACACATTGCTCTGGCGGTGTTGACGGCCATGGGACCCGGCACCGCTGGAGAACTCCAGTAGTTGGCATTGGTCTGCCATGTGGTGGGATATGAGAATACTGTGGCACTTGATGTGGGTTCGACGGGCATAAAACCCGATTGTGAATAGGAACTGGTGAAACAGGCACTCGATGTGGGGGTTGATCCAAGTTGGGTGTTGCTGGATTGTAGACTCGTGGGAGTCTGGGGTGCCGATGGGGGTTGAGGTGGTGATGCGTTGCCCGTGCTGCCATTGCTACCAGATCCTGAGACAATGCGAGGTCGACTGTATGGAGTGGATCTGTTGGAGGCATTTGATCGGCTACTCAAGGCACGACCATAACGATCGCAATTTCCCGACACCAAGGAGGATTCGGCCAAGGTATTGTGGTTTACCGGAGAGCTGGTGTAATGGGTGGGCGGTGGTATCAACCAACCATAGTGGGCATCATGAGAATACATCGTATCGGGGCGCTCCTTTGGGAAACGAAATTTGTTTTTATTAGTTGTTGTTCTTTTTAGTGGAAAAAATCCTGGGTCATGGAGAATGACGGAAGGGGGAGAGGGGCTTCTGTACTCACCTTGGCATCCAAGAAGGCCTTTGCAAATGGATTGTATTTTATTTTCAGAGAGGTTACCTCCTCGTTCTGATAGGCTGTGACGGCAATAAATTGTGTCTCCGGAAAGGGATAGGTAACCACATGACGCTGCTCCGAGCCCACGCGTACCAAGTGGACACGGGGCTCATATTTGTGTAGGGAGTTCAACATTATCTGGCCATTGCCATTTGTTTTGTTGGTCAACTTAACTTTGGCAAAGCTAATGGGTTCCTTCATCCAGTGGGCACCAAAGTTGGGAGATTCGGGGTGTACATAAATAGGATTGGAGGGAGGAACTTCGGCTTTGCCGCCAGGTACCTAGGGAGAGCAAGAGAAAGAGAAATATTTAAGAGATTGCTTTGGCGATAAAAAATGAGCGGACAACTTACCCATTCCCCGTTGACATATTTCCAGCGATGTGTATCCACTTGCACAAACTCCAAGAGCACGGTATACATGGCAGCTGGGTCCAAGCCCGAGGCACTGATCTTCACAACCGGAAACATGCGCCTAAAACACACACACATGAATTAGAATATTAAAATTTTGTTTTGTTCAAGTTTTTCTTAGAAACATGACTGCATCAATTAACACTTTTTTCCAGTTCGGATTTTCAACAAAACAGAAATTATTCCAAAGTTGGATGGATTGTTTTTCCTCCGCTTTTGTTTCTTCTTGACAGCGTGGCGGGAGGAAAACGTTAGAATCTCATTATTATTAATAATAATATTGAAAACAAGAACCTTCAAAAGTAATTTGCAAAAGAAAAATCACTTTTTTATCTTTTGATATAAACATTTAGCACCTTGGCGTGCAAATACAGTGGAACCTTTAGAGGATCAACTTTTTTGAGTTTCATGGGATTTTCGAACTTACCTTCCATTCTTGGTGACAATCATTTCATTGGTTAGATTTTGAAAACGCAGCCACAGCTCCCGATCATCCAGGGAGACATGTAAATTTCTCTCCAAGGCATTGGGGCTGCCGCGATTGCCCAACGAGTTGTGATTGCCGGTGCTGACCATGGCATCTGGGGCGTGTAAATGCTGAGGCGAATGTGTGCCATTGCTGTGGGGATCCACGGCCGATAAAATGTGTGAAGTTGACATGTCTTCTAAACAAAACAAAATAAACAGGAATTCCAAGAAAAATCATTAAACTTTCAGTTAGTCGGAATTTCAAATCAAAACAAAAGACTTAAGACACAAACTGGCTGTAACCGACTCCCACTGGAAAGTAATTCCCAAATTCAGCAACACATTCCAAACATAAATATTTCTTCTGTTTTAATTTCTTTGATTTTTTGTTCGATTTTTTTTCTCCCGTGGAAGTTTATTGGCAGGTGTTGTAAAAGCGTTCATAATTTTATTAATTTACAATGGCAATGCAAATAGCTTATAAAGTTCGTTTTTGTTGCTTTTTAAACCATTAGATTCGTAAGAGGCGACGACGGCAACGGCGGTCAAAGACCAAACACGCCGCCATGTGGATAGAATTGATACAATAAAAGTCTCTGTATTGCCCAAATAGCGGCCAAGATTTAAGAATTTTGTTTTCCTAAGCCGAAACTGATGGATGACTGGCGGTTCGTCTGTCCCTCTGTCCGCCAAAGTGGTGTTGATGGTATGTGGACGAGTGTCTAAATTACTCATGTCGGCATTTTTTTTAAATTTTATATTGCACATTTTAGCCACGCTCAAGTGAATAGTGCGACAGACGGACAGACAGACAGACAAAAAGAATAAGCGGTCAATGCGTCATAACTGTTTGAAGAGTAGAACAACAACAAGGCTTGCATCTCTCTGCTGGTGCTAGGCCATAAATGTGAGGGAACCCTTTTGGTTTATGGTATCCAGCCTAACCAACATTTTTTTTTGTAAGAGAGTGAGGAAAAATCACAAAACAAAAATGATGTTGAAGTATCCAAAAATAAAGTGACGTCTTCATAAACACACACACTCTCACCAATGAAAATATATTGATTATTGATTGCTGGAATAGAGTTAAGTATTACAACTCAATTCTTTGCCATCATAAATTCTCTAATTGCCCGGATGACAGATTTATTCAGTGAGCGAGATTCAAAAAAGAAAATCTTTGGAAAGTTCTTAACAAAAAGAGAAGATGTTGTAAGTTAATTTATTGGACTTTTGCCGGCCAAAAGGTTAACAAAAGCTACTGCTGCCAACTAAAAACAGAATCGAGAAAAAATCTATTAATTTTTTTTGTTTTTTGTTTCTAGGCCATAAATCAGCTACTCCTCCCGCTCTGAACACCACAGAAGCGGAAAAAATATTTCGAAATATCCAGCTCTATTATTCAGCGTGATGGATGCGTATTTGTTGTTGTCTTATTTTGATTTTTAGTTAGTTTTTTTCTGTATTTGTTTATTTGCCATTGATTAAACTTTGCCCGTCTTCTTTTCTGTTTGTCCAAATCGTGACTTCAATATTTACTTAAGTCAAACGCGTTTTTTGTTACGGTAAACAGTGTACATATGCATTTATATTAAAATGTATATATGTATATGATATGATAGTTAGTATCTAAGTTTGTATGCGTACTAGAGGTTGTGTGGATTGAAGATGAATTTTAAATTTCCATAGGTTTTAACAAAAACTTCCCTCATTATGTAATTGAAAATTGTGAAAAAATTGAACTGAACTAAAATTGAGAATTGAATGGAGAAATTGGAAATTTTGAAAGTGCATTTTTTACGAAACAGGAAATATTTACCAAATTTTCAGAGTTAAAGACTTTTTCTGAATTAAAAACTGTGTTGGAAAAATCAGTTGTAGTTTGCCATTAAAAAATGGAATATTTTTATTAGAAAACAATAAATATATCTATTTACTAGTGTTGTACATTATTTCAATATCAGGAAGGACAAATCTGTTATCGTAGTAACAATATAAGATTCTTACGGATACTGCGGCCGAGTAATATTTAATAAAAGTAAGTTTTCTTGGATAATTAAAAAATGCCCTGAAACGACCAGCCCTTTTGAAACCTCTATTAAACAAATAAACATTTTTTTACACAAATCAATACCATTTGAAAGAATCGAAGACATTTTAGAAATATGGCTGTTTGTCCGCCATACCAAAAGATCCCTAAAGATGACCGACGGAGACAGACTAACTATCGGTAATAATAAATTGAAAAATATTTTTATTTATTAAAGAAATCTAAACTTCAACAATATTACTAAAATATCAAAGGTTAATAGATAAAAGGCCCAAATACTACTTGAAAGACTACAAGTTTGTGTCTTAAGTCTTTTGTTTTCGTAGTGGACGATTTTTACTCATGAAGTTTGTTGTTTAAGTCTTTTAATAATATAACAAGTAAAGTAGCATCAGTCGATTTTGTTATACTAGATATAAGTATTGGAAATTTTGACCCTTTGTGGGTAAGATGTACAAAGACTGAATGGAATCGGATGTTAATTTTGCGTTTTATGAGCTTCATGGATACTCAAAAATATGACACTTTGTGGGGGAGATACCAGAAGGAGTGGATCGGTATATCTCAATTTCATACCATACCTTGGCTTAATTAAAATATTGTAATTTGTGTAATTTGAAAAGAACCGGATGCTCATTTCGGATTTTATGATCGTTTTTGTTATTCAAAACTTTGACCCTTTGTGGGGGAGGTACCAGAAGGAGTGGTCCGATCTCTATCATATTTATAACAGATCTCGTGTTTGTGTAAATATTAAGACGTGTCAAGTCTGAAAGGAATCGGATGTTTATTTCGTGTTTTATGAGCTTCATGAATATTCCAAATTTTGACCCTTTGTGGGGGAGGTACCAGAAGGAGTGGATCGATATATACCATCTTCTCACCAGATCTTTGGTTAGTAAAAATATTGTGATGTGTATAATTTGAAGACAATCGGACACCCACATCACGTTTTATAATAGTTAATAGTCAAAATTTTGACCCTTTGTGGGGAAGGTACATGATGGAGTGGACCGACATTGTTCATTTTCGCACCTGACCTAGCACTGATGCAAATATTAGGATTCGCAAAGTTGGATTATCTGTTTCTTTCTGTGCAGTAAATTATTTTCTTTGAAAATGTTGTCATATTGTGTGGCAGGTACCACAGTAGACCGATATTGCCCATATCCGAACTCAATTTAAATTTGATAATATTATTACGATGTAACAAGTTTGTACCAAATCGGATAATCCCTTCGAGTGTTATAGTGCGACCACCCACCAGAAAGACAGACAGACTGACGGACATCGCTAAATCGACTCCAATGTCCTGAAACTGATTTGGTCCAAGAGATCTATGGTCTAAAACCGTTATTTCGATGAGGCACGTTTTGGCTATGATTATGATTTTATGACTTTAATATAAAAAAATATATATATATAAAAAAAAATGATCATCAAAAAGCTGACAGATAATGCTTAGCTAGTCTGTAATGGAGTGTAGTTTTTGTAACGATTACGTGGATTTTCAAAACACTCAAAGCATGTGACTGCACATGATTTACGAACTAAGTTTCCTAAATAAAGTACAACCCAATGCTTTGGAAAATATTTACTTTTTTTGTTTTATAGGAAGAGAAACTATTTCATTGTCTTAAAGAGATTGAAAATAAATATTTGTGAAAAAGTTTCGTTTTTTTATTTTTTCTAATTTCTAATAGACTTTTGATTTCATAGAGAAAATACATTTTCTTGGGAGATAAAAACCAACTAGTTTTAGTGGAGTTTAAAAGGGAATAGGTATTTTAACACCTTTCTTTCGAAGCCAATCGTTTATGTTTCCATGCAAAGTTTGTGTCTTGAGTCTTTTGTTTTTCATGTAAAAAACTATTTCTTAAAAAATATGCCTTTTTCTAACATTTTTAATTAGAAAATGTAATAAAAAATTAAAAAAGCAACTTACGCATAATTTTTGAAGGTAGTTGTAATCCAAATGACAGTTCCGCTAAATTTCAAATACTTTTCCGATTTTTTTCACAGCTTATTGACACCAATTACTTCAAAAACTGTTTTCTTTTTCTCTTAGATTCAAGCCTTAGCACATATTTTGCCTCAATTAATTGAATTTATTTTAATTACTTTCCGTTTATTTATTTTAATTCTTGTTCTGATCCGGCGACAATTGTTTTGGTTTTTTGCACTTTGTTATTTTTTATTTTCACTTTTTTTTTTGTATTTCGCCAGGAGAGGATGGGGCGAACTTCTTATAATAAACGTTTAACACTTGCGTGTCAAATGTGTCACGCGCCACTTTAAATTATCAGCAAATGATACGCCGCGGGAAACGGATCTGACACACAAACGCCTCTGGAAATGGCTTGGCGTGCGTGCGTGTGTGTGTTTGATGGTGTGTGAATGTCAACTGTGATAAAATACCAAAATAAAACGAAACTGAAACTGAAACACTGCAGATTAACAGTTGGCTGCTTGATTGGCTGTTTATTTGATTTAACAACAGCAACAAAGGCGTTTAGATCGATCGATCGATCAATGGATCTTTTCTTTATTGAGGATCTCCCCCAGTCTTCTTTTGTCGCGATCTCAGTTTTTTTCTTTCAGTTTTTTTTGGTCGTTATGATAATTAGGTACTTTTCACTTCACTTTTTTGCGTTAAATTATTAAATTACTGTTAATTTTATGTTGTTTTTGTGTTAATAGCGGTTTACGGCTGTTAACGCACTTTATGATGTCTGACGGTGTACGGCCGCTGATTTGAGCTGTACTAAAATTTTGTACAAACTGTAATTAATTAGTATCCATTTGTCAAATAGCACTGGGTCCTACGCTCGGAGGGGCTGGTTGGACAGAATTCACTTTTTTTGGGTTGCTTGCTATTCTTGAGGTATTTTTAGAATTGCGAGTTTATTTTTAGATTTCAACACTTTGTTTGAATTTTAAGATTTTTTAAAATTTGTTTTTTTTTTTTGGATGCAACTGTAAACAAAAGTAAATTTTATATTAAAAATTTATATTTTTCGCTTATGATTTTTAAAAATTTAAAACTTACTTTTTCAAATTGATAATTTTGGATTTTTTGTTAAATAAACTATTGCTTATTTATTTAATATTAATCTTCAAAATCTATATTTTTTCTATTTTCTTTTGCGTTACTTTACGTTTCGTCAAATAGCGCGTTCACACCCGTTTGCGTACTCTGAAGCTAATGATCGGTGTTAATTTGTTCAGCCATCACAAAAGTTGTCGTTTTTCCTCATCATCTCCTCGAAACATCATTCACAAACCCAAACACACACTTGTTGCTGTTGTTTTTCTTGGCATTCAGCCTTTGAACACCTCTTTCGCCAATGGCCAACTCTTTCGCTGCTCTTTCAACTCATTGATGCTAATGGATGGCAGGTATCAGTGTGTCTCGCTTTGTCGTGTGACAAGAAGCTCCGCCTCATATTGGATTTCGTTGTTGTGCCCAGCCAAGCTGAGGCTACAGGTAGGCAGGCAGGAAACCATATTTGTTGTATCGCCCGTTCGGTCGGTCAGTCGTCGTTCGGCTTAAATGTGACCATTATAACTTAGTTTTGTTTTAGTCATTGCACGTTTGCGTACTGACGGTATTCGTAGCCTGGCAACAACAGGTAGATAGAATGGAGATCGATGGCTACATTGAGAAAAATATAAATGATTAGCTGAAGGAGCTCTTTGCGAGTCAATGAAATGCCACACAGGATCTCAAGATTAGAAGCCTTGCGAAAAGTGTGAATAAGCCTTTTATATGTAGGTGTGCAAATAAATGGATTATAGGTTTAAATCCGGATATGTCACCAAAGATTTGTCAAAGGAATTAGAGGGTATCATTTCACCTCATTTTCTATATAGCAACATAATTCGCAGCGTACTCAGAAATACATTTCGATACTATTTCCATGCTAAAAAGTGCGGAAAATATAACTATTTCGGAGAGAGTCCGGTCCCCCGTACCCCGGTGTATGTCCCTGAATATAATGAGGAAAGTGCTGGATAGGGGGGATATTTAATTTAGAGTTTGTCGTGGACTCCGTACGCCTAACGGATTCGGTTTTTTGTCCATTTGTGGGAGGTACATTAAAGAAGGATTTGTGCCATCTCCCCATTCGATGATATATTAGAAATCGGGATCTTATTTTGAATTTAGCGATACAAATTATACTGTCCGACAAAATTCAACTTTTTCAATAAATACTAGAAAAATTCATGTTTTCAATGTTTTCTCATCGGAGAAAATTAAATTCGACAATTCACCACTTTCGGCCAAGAGAAGCAACTCTTTAGCTCTTTTGAGTCTATTTTCTTTTTGTTGCGGTGTAAGGTTTTGCACTTTTTGGAATTTCAATGGCTTTACCCCGAGCTCATTTTTCTATATTTTCCGAATGGAATATTGTGATATGTTCAGCTCACGAGCCATTTTCGGCCACTGCGACGCGGGTTTCGATCAAGTCGCTTCTTTACTTTTCGAACCATTTCTGCTGATGTTGCTGTTTTCTTCCGTCCACTTCGAGCGATAGTACGAGACACAAGAGATTTATTCACATTTAAATGCTGGAGTGCTCTAACGATAGCCACTTGTGGTTTTCCAGCCAAATATAAAGAAATCACACTATCACGCTTGAATTCCATCAGGAATAACTTTTTTTCTGGAAAATTCTAACCAAAATGCTTTTGTACGCTTGTAAACAATATAATGAGCTGTTACTGGAATAATTTTAACGGCTGTCGGACGAGTGGGTTGGAAATGACAGCAGTCTGAAGTTGGTTGCAGTTTTTTCATCCCACCCTGTATTTTGAGATATATTTCGCAACTTTCTGTATAAAAAATTATATTAGTATAGTCTCCATATATCGTTAAAACCCAATGTCCAGCTCTTTGTACGTTTTAATAATATTTTCCATTTAATTTCGCCAAATTTTGGTATTTTCTATTCTTTGCTTTGGTTACCTTTAAGTTTCGCTCAGTTTACTTTTGCGGATATTTTTAACAATTTTTTCTCTCACTGTATTTGCGCCACACATTCATACTTATCTTTGCTGTCGTCATATTTTGAATACCAGGTACCAAACGTTTCTCCTTTTTTGTTTTTGGTTCTTCCTCTCTTTCCTTTTCTACAGATTTCGTTGTGATTTGTTTTTGTTTGTTAAACTATTTGAACTGAACGGTGCAGCAGAAACAGCAACAACAGGGCACTTACCAACGTCTATGGCCAACAACGATGATGGATAGTATCATTGTTGTTGGTGTTGTCTTTTCTATTTAAAAATGAATCTCATCTTCTGATGTACGAGCCAGGTTGCGCTTCAATGGTGGACATTGGCAATATCCATTAAAACTTTGAATTGGTTCCAATCCATTATTTGCCAGCTACTTAAATTCGTTGTCATTACCATCGTCATAAAATTGGGAGAGTCGAATAACAAAATTATTAAATTTACATGGGGTATGTTGATTCCAGGCTATGGTTCCTTGAAGTGTGAATGTTCGAGCCGAGGTTGGGGGCAAATTAAAATTATAGGCCAGACCTGGATGGAGAAAGATTGATACCGTTATATTTACTTGAAAATCAGAACTGAGAACTGGTTAAGGAATTTATTAATTTTAAGACCTTCGATGTTGGTTCGACTTTAAAGCACACAAGTTTATCCGAGTAGAATTCGACGCAAAATTATTATTATCAGACTATGTAGATAGAAAAACTTCGATGGGCATACAAAAAAAGCAGGAAACATTTGTGATCTTTCTTGGAGAACTTCTTTTATAATTTAAATATTTATATGGACATTTTTCTAACATTTGATACATATGTACTTTTTCAGTAAAAATTACTCAGAAACATATGCTGAGAGAATTTTATATCTCACCCAGTAAAGTCCATCGAAAAAACAGTTATTTGAACTTTTTTGCATCGGCCACAAAATCAGCTGATTGTTATTGAGCTGATGATACAGAATAACTCTTTCTAAAAAATTTCCCAGCAAGAGTTTACAAACTCTCTGCCTTATATTTCTCCTCCTCCGCCTGAGATTGAAAAAAATCTACAGTTTCTCTATAGAAAGAAGGCCTCATATATCCCACTGGCCTTCTCTACATATTCTCTATAGAAAAAAGGCCTAAGATATCCCACTGGCTCTCTCTATTGCTCTCCTTCTGGCGGCATAATTTTTGATCAGCCCAAATTTTAGGGCGCTCGTAATTCGTATAAACCTCAAAACACTTTCAACCTGTTTGTGATCCTCTTCGTCATCATTAACTTTGGCCATTGAAAAATCATGCTGTTTGTTTTGAATTTCCATTAGGTTTTTTTCTGTTTTCAAGCAGCTATTGCTGATGTTGGTGTTGTTGTTACTGTTGCTATTGGTTTTTTAAGCTTTGAAGCGTTTAGTCAATGGCAAAGTATCCACGAATCAAATGATGTGCAAATGAGAAAAATCAACAAAATAACATACAGAAAAATAAAATAAACAACAACAACAAAATCAACGACGACGAAGATCATGTTTGTTCATATATCTATGTGCTTATGCCAGTGTGTCAGTCTGTTCGCTTGTATGGCCGCATGGTCCGGTCCCTCTTGGCATTACGAAAAACAAAATATATTCCATTTATTTGGCTTTTCAAAGATCAGTCTTTCGATGCGGTCTTCAAAATGAAACTCGGTCCTGGCCACATTAATAGCTGGACAGACAATCCGTTCAACGAAGCGGTAGATAAATAAAAGCAAAATAAATATGGGTACGCTCATGAGATCCAAACGCAAGTGAATGGTGGCGAAGAACATCCAAAAAAAACAACAACTTGAATTGTATCAAACCGAGACGAACAGCATTACTTACAGCCTCAGCAGCCTCATACATGTATATTCATAAATATGGATCGAGAATCTCAAGCCAAATGCAAAACATCATGTGCATGCGGGTATTGAACCCGGCCCCATTCATTTGTGCCACACTTTCTACATTCACCACCCGTTCGGTCGCTAATCCCTAATTAATCACTGTTCTTCGGCAGGCCAAAAACGCGCGTCCGACTAAAACAAGGCCATTCATACTAAAATTAGTCCTTGAATCGAGACTAGAGACTAGGAAGGATCTGCTGGCATTTTCTACCTGCTCGTGGTGCTCTACTTAGTATTGTATTAAGGTTTATGACCCTCTGTGTATTTGAGAACACACGTTTGCTCTAATTTGGGAAAATCTGCTTTTGTCTGCTAACCTTAATCCCTTTAGCACCCGTCCGAGCGGCCTTACTAAATAAGTAGCTGCTGCTAACCCTTTCTGTTGGTCTCTCGTCCATTTAGTATTTCTTAGATTTCTGCTGAACCCTTTTGTGTTCGCTGCCCTAAATACTTACCGCACCGCATAGATTTCCACATAATCAGGCCGGCCTAACGGTTTTATGGCCGAGTTTAAGCGTAAATCCGCGCCCTAATTAGTCTGAGGTTGTAAACTAATAAATGCGGTGCTCTCCATCTCCTTTGTTGACCGGTCATTCTACTAAACTCTAAATATTTGTGCTAAATCGCTAGACTAGTGAGTAAATATAATTAGATTAAATACTATCCGTTCGTCCGTCCGGTTGTCTGTCTGTCTGCCCTTCGTTCATCGTTCGATAGTTGAGGACTAGGACTATTTTTCATTTTAGGTTTTTTTCGTTGAAGTTTTTCTATTCGGAAATTCCTGAAATGGCCTCAAGATGTTCTGTGCATGATGACAAGGACATGGCGTATTTTATGAGGATGAAGGATTTTTCATGGCGCGAGGGGAGAGAAAAGGAAATGAAAAAATAAATAAGGGCTTATTGCAAATAAAATATTTCAACACCTATTTGGAGGCGTTTATTATTTAGCACATTTTGCCACAGATGGGAAATTCGATCATAAATCATGTAACTCTGCGCAAGAATGGCAAAATTACAAAAAATATTTTATTTATTTTATTTTATTTTATTTATTTAATCTATTAAATGTTAATATACTTTTCCAATCAAAAATCGATTCGAAAAATTAACAAAAAATTAAAGAAGTTTTATATTTTCTTTATATTTTACATTTCTTTTTATATTTTTCTTAATTTACCTCCAAAACATTTTCTTGTATTTCACAGAGAAATTAATACTCTATCAAATCTTCATTAACTTTTCACGTTTCCAATCGGGGTTTATGGATTTAAAACGCTTCCAAAAACACAAAAAAAACGTGTCCACAAATTATCCACACAAAGACATGGTTTCAATTAAAAGTAAAGCTAAACTAATCGCAAGCATTTCACTTGCTGCTCCCTTTGATGTGACCCGAACCCGTTCTAATCTATATATGGTTATCGCTCTGAAAACAAATCTTAGTTTGCACTTGATCAGAGTTTACACAGGGATCAGCAGCTGACTGACTGAATGACAGATCCTTGGCGAGGTGAAGGAAACAAATCAAAAGGAATATTTCCACTGCAAAAACTAAAAGAATTGTAAATCATTTTATCTTCGATTTGTGGTGTTCGAAATTTGTTTGCTTTTCAGTTTCGGAATTTCGTTGTTGTTGTCGCTTGGGCTATTGTTTTAAAATTGTCTGCTCTGTTTTCAGTTGTACTTGTTGTTATTATTGTTTTATTTTTTTCTTAAGAAAACTCCGCCTTTGGTTATTCAAGATTCGATAATAATTTGTACGACTCTACACCCTTTGGTCATGCGGGGGTATGCTGGGCCCGTAGCCATAGCCTCGCCAGCTCAATGTGTGTTCGTTCTATGTGTATTTTGTACTTTTGTGTAAACAGCGAGTGCGTGTGTTTGTAAACATAAATTATTTTGTGTTTGCCTTTCAAAAACCTTTTTTGTATTTTTTTTTTCGTTCTTTGAATAACTTGGCTTCGAGAATCCATTATGGATGCTCCGTTTAAAATGGTCGACCATGGAAAGATTTCACTAAGAATAGTGGCAGCAAACCTAAAGCAAGAGATCTTTAAAATTAGGTGATTTTCGAAATCGTTAAATGCCAGAAGTCGGTATGGAGCAATTAAATATTACTCCTTGTGTATCAGTTAACAATTATGAATATCGCCATCACAATGCCTCCAGATTTTAATATATATTTAATGTTTCAGTCGCAATTTCCAAAACAATGAACTCTAATGTGACATTTAAGGTTTAATAAATCTCGAATCTCTTGCTGCAAAAATTTTCAATGAGTCCACAAGTTTATATAGTTTCAAAATAACTCTACCTACCGATGCGGGATTGCGGGATTTGAAGATGAAAGTGATTTCTAAAGTATTGCTCAGTTCCCTCACAAAAAAGGGGAAAACTAATAAAAGATTTTGTTGCCATACTTCAAAATCCACATGCCAGACAATCAGAAGCTGGCAAACATGCTAATCTTATTAATTCGGCCAAATTTGTCAAGTCATTGTCAATTCACCGTTATTTTTGTTTGATTTCTCTTAGATTTGTCATCAAGTGTTTGTTATTTAGGAGCATGGAACGGTTTTCATTGAATGTAACACAAACGGAACGTTTTTCGTTTTGTTCTTGAAATTCTTTAGACGTAACTCTCTCTCTCTCTTCCTATGAGAAAAGCAAGATCACATCTAATATATCTCCCTCCCTGCCTCAAAAAGAAACAAAATCCTTGTTTTCAAGTGGGGTTTTGTCTGATAACATAATGATAAATTTATTTAAGGTTTTTAATGTATTTTTTTATTATGTGGAAATTATTTTTTGTTTATAATTAAGTTTTTGCAATGTTTAATTTCTGTTATAATGGGCTGTTTGTTAAATATAATATTGTTTTCAGTATGTCTCACTTGTTTTTGTAAGGAAATCTCTTCTTTTATCAACATGACGTTGTTTGTGATTTGTTTTGGTTTACAATTTCGGCTGAAGGTACATGATGCAATGATTTCAGTGATGATGAATTTCGAACAGAAAACTATTCTAAGTAATAATCATAAAAATCGCAATAATGGTAATGACGTTTGTTTTAATACTTTGTAACTGTTAATTAAAATATTGAATATAAACAACTTTATACTAAATTTGTTTTGTTCTTGTTGTAAATAATTTTGGTTTCAAATTGCAGCTTTAATAGGAAATTCGAAATTGGTTTAGCATTTCGGTTTTGTTGTAACTATCGCCTAGTTTTTTATGTATGGTATTCAATTTGGTTTTTGGCAATAAAGAAACAAATTTTGAACGCCTATGTATGTCCAGTATATGTATATGTTTGGTATGCATGGTCTATTATGGCATTTTAGATACGGTCGTTATTTTGTTTCAGATTTTCTTTTTTTTTTTGGTGGCAATGCTGCTCTATATATATGTATGTATACATTTTTATTTTCAGATTTATGTTTTGGTTGTTATTTTTTTTAGTTTTCAATATATAATTTCAGTTTGGATATGATTTAAACGTTTCAACATCTTAGAATAGGTTTGTTATGTTTTCTTTTTCTTTTTCTTATTTTGTTTAGTTTTCAATATTTCCAATATAGGCTAAAAATTTTATATATTATTTATTTTATATTATATATAATTAATAGTACTGAGTTTGTTTTTCATTTTCAATATATTTCTGTTTGTTTTTTATGTTTTTTTTTTTATTAAATTGAAATAACAACATCGAGATTATTTGAAAAAGGTGTTAGATTTGGTAGATTACAAAAATTAGGTGCCAAATTAAAGGAAACATTTGAAATACAAAGAAATTCAATAAAATGTATTTTAATAAAAAACAATAATAAAAATATTAAGATTTGTTTGTTTTTATTAAATATGTTTTTAAATATTTTTTTTTTTTTTGTTAATTTAAGTATTGGTTTTTGTTTTTTTATTTAGTTTTAACAATATGGAAGACATTTGCAATTCATTTTACTATAATTAGTTACTTTTTGTGGTTTCATTTGTTTGTTTTTTAATTATTTTTTACTTTTATTCTTTAAAACAAACTTGAAAAATAATTCCAATAAATAATCAAAAATAAGTTATCTTTACACACACACTTCCCTTCTTTTAATTATTTTTCTCATTTGGTTTCTTAGTTTAATACTCAGGTTTGTGGGTTTTTTTGCTTCCTCTGATTAACCCATTTATTCCATGGTGCCGTATTGTACCTTTTTGATTTTGAAATATCTGTCAAAGAGATGTGAATTTAAATTCCAAAGTTTCAGAATCCGTTGAGATTTTCAACTTACCTCCATCCTCCATAGCCTGAGATGGTTAGTAAAACAGCTATCGCCAATGCCGTGCCCACTGCCAAGGGTGCCGTCTCATCCCGATACGAGCCGGTGGCACTGCAATGGAATGGTGGTCCCCATTTACCACTTTCCTTGAACATAAAGCTTTGCATATGCAGATCACGTAAATACAGCCGTGCAATGTGACCCGACTGATCACCCGAGTCCAGTGGGGCGAACATTAACACCGTTTGTTCCTTGTCGCAGACATAGGATTTACCCACGGGTGTTGGGAAATACATGGGCGTGTGAGATGGTGAAGTTAACTTAACATCTAAGCCTGGACGATCTGGATGTTCGAATAGGGGATTCGACGAGGAGTACGTTAATTCGAAGAGATTGATGTACCAGCCTTCACCGCCAGATGACTGTGTAAAAGACGGAAGAAGAAGAGGAAGAATTAAAAATTGGCTTAAAGTCATTGTCCTCGAAAGAACACGAATCCCAAATTTTTGCCTAGCTAAACTTTTCATAACCTCCAAAATGAAATTATATTTCATCAAATCACAAACAATTTGGACAAGCGTTATCTTCTTCCCTTATTGATTGGAAGCCCTTTTCCTTGTATTGGTCTTAGAACTTTAAACTACCAATAATAGGCCCGTTCCATGGCAATCTATATAGGAACCCCTCGCAGAAAGAGAATAAGGACCAACATGTAAAGACCATTTAGATGAATATGGTAATTGTTGTAGAATACAGGATGAGATGAAAAAACTGCAACCAAATTCAGACTGTTGTCATTTTTAAGCCACTCGTCCGACAGCTGTTAAAATTATTCCAGTGACAGCTCATAATATTGTTTACAAGGGGAACAAAAGCATTTTGATGAGAATTTTCCAGAAAAAAATTACTCGTGATGGAATTCAAACGTGATAGTATGATTTCTTTATATTTGGCTGGAAAACCACAAGTGGCTGTCTTTAGAGTCCTCGAGCATTTAAATGTGAATTAATCTTTTGTGTTTCCGATGTCAAGGAGTGGACGGAAGAAAATAGCACCATCAGCAGAAATGATTCGAAAAGTAAAGAAATCCGCGTCGCTGTGACCGAAAAATGGCTCGTGAGCTGAACATATCGCAGTATTCCATTCGGCAAATATTGAAAAATGAGCTCGGGGTAAAGCCATTGAAATTCCAAAAAGTGCAAGAACTTACACCGCAACAGAAACAAAATAGACTCAAAAGAGCTAAAGAGTTGCTGTGCTTGGCGGTGATAGTCGCTCCCCGCTCGTATTAATCGACCGTGACATCAAAATAAATGCCAAATATTATCGCGAAAATATTCTGGAGGGTTAATACACCCATGGGCACGCAAACATTTTGGCCACAGACCTTGGACAATCCAACAGGACTCAGCACCATCGCACTCAGCACGCCCACCCAAGAGTAGTTACAAAATGAGGTTCCTTGCTTCATTTGCAGCGCACAATGGCAACCAAAACCTCAGGATACCAATCCGTTGGACTATTGTGTCTGGAGTATTTTGGAAAGCAAGGTTGGCACTAAAAATTGTCAAAGTGTCGATCACCTCAAGAAAGTGCTTCGCCGGAAATGGGCCAAAATACCGCAGAGCAAAATTCGGGCATCATGTGACTTTTTCTTTCATCGGCCGTTTGTGCCATAATTCGTGCCAAAGGTGACCAATTCGAACAAATCTAAACTTATTCTAAAATTTGATGCTATTTCCGACATTTTTTGCTTTCATTCCATAAAATGTAAAAATTATGGTGTTTGACTTTGTTGCAGTTTTTTTGTCTCACCCCGTATATATAACACCTGTATATCATGGCTTATTAAAACACACCTAATGAGATCCTGCCAATTTGAAAATTTTAAAACACCGGGAAAATGTCAAACGAATACCATGCAACAGTTTTTGTGTTAAAAATAATCATGGCATCGTCGAGAGGCCTACTTCCCCTCCTCGTGCATTGGCCTAATGACCACATATTAAATTGGTCAACACCTCACATTTGTGTAATATTCCATACACCTTGTACTTCTCCCGCCTCATGTAATGACACAGTTCATATCCCAACTCTCTTTATACATAAATAGTAGCCTGTGCAACAGACTAATTGGTTATGCCAATAATGGATGACATGCCACCCACTTCCCACTTACCTTTTTGAACGTCATCGATAGTTTGAAGCCTTTGAACTCCAGCGTCAACAGTTCCATATTGGACTCCACACATTCGCCGCTCAACACTGGATTATCGGGCAAATACAAATCGGCCTCAACGTCTTCATTCAGCTTGTTGCGATACTTAATGCTGATCAGGCCATCAACACTAATCAGGATGCAGGTGATGCCGTTGGTGGCATTGAAACGGTAAATGGACGTGGTGGCATCGTGGTTCATTGATGAAGACTGTCAAGGAGAACACACACACATACACACGCAAACAAACATATGTCACATTAGAACAACAGATGCTTATATAAGTGGGATCAATAGGCGACTTTGACTTACCGCTGGCGATTTTGTCGTATATCTGGTAACCCTGGGCATTTTCGTTGAAAGTGAATTCAGTTGTAGACCTTGACAATACGTAACTGAAACCAAGAAGAAAAACAGATTATTTTAACAAATTAATCATCATCATCATCGGCGTCGTCGTCGTCGCCACCATCATTATCTGTCATTCTATTCAAGAGCAAAGCCTCTTGCCTCTCGTCCATCCCGTATGTCACAGTTAAGTGATACGCTAGGGGGGACAAGTTCGTTGTCCCACAAACCTAATTTTGGCTGATTTCGGCAAAATCGGTATCATGCCAAGTCGATTGTCCATTTTTATCTCTTGTAAAATATTAATATGTGACCAAATAGAAAATCGATAATTCTACACGTTGTTGTGTACAAGGCAAGCGAACATATGCCAACATCCTACTCCCCTCACTCCTTGGGAATGTTCGCTTTAACAGAAAAAAAAAACACATTCTGGCCCACATTCATCCCCCTAGAGACACTTTCTATTTCTTGTTTTTGGAAATTTTGTTACGTTTAGAGTCTTTGTCAAATGCCACCTACACCACCATCACCACCCACCCGAACAAATATCCAACCAACCACCTTGACGACATCACTACCCCATTTAGCTTTTTGGTCAAAACGAATCAAGTCAAAAAAATAAATACTCCATGACGTTGTAAGGACCACCAAAGAAAAGAAGTGCGGCCTACAGAGGGGACTTGGGGGGTTGGGATTCGAACACCAGATGCAACACTTTACTTTACTTACCCATTAACGAGAAAAGTATACTCGTGATTATTAGAAAATCATAACGCACTGAATTCCAATGGGTTTTACTCAGAATTTTCAGTAGATCAGTCATCTTTGGTCTTGAACTTTGAATACGAATCACAGGATTTCGATAATACTTTAGTTTGTCAATGATTCTAACTCGGATTTGTTCTTTCAATGCTACTCAGCGGAATGTTAAAAATGTATCTTTTCTTTTTCTATTTTTTTTCTTCTGCTTCTGATAAAAGCTCCAACGAACGAACGAACACACTCTCAACACTCCCGTTTCTTTCCTTTCGGTTGGCTTTAATGAAAAAATACGAAAACCGTTCCCAGTGCGAGTGACGAGTCCTGCGTACAAATGATGAATGAAATTGTTTGTACCAAAATTGACATTCAAGCAAACAATGGAGGAATGCAAGAGCGTAAATATTCTTCCCGATTGGAGGATGCGCACGGCGCATGTCCCAGTTTTGAACGAAACGGAAACGATGTGAAAATCATGTTGCCACATATTTTTTAATGGATGTCCTTTTTTTCGCAAAGCTAATAAATAAATAAAAAAGTAGAATAGGAAAATGTTGTTTGTCTTTTTCCAATAGATTCCAAAACCGACGAATGAATGTTTATTTTTTTGAAATATAATCTGCCGTCGAGTTTTAACCTTTAAATATTTTCAAATATGTGAAAATATCAGGGCAGTAAGGCAAAAAGGAAGCAATGGGTATGTCTGGTTACTTTTCTTACAGGAATTGTCCAGCAAAATCTTTCTGACAGAGAAAGGTAATTTTATTCTCCTTTGCAATAAACTGTTTAAAGTAAAAAGATGGAATCTCTGCAGAAACTGAAGAAATGCAAACTCTCTGTAAAAGAAATGTCAAATCTTTCCCCCTCTTTCGCTCTCTCTCCCTCTCTCTCTCTCTCGCTCTCTCGAATCGCTTCCTTTTGCAGAACTTTTGTGTAAACAGAAGACTTCCAGTAATAATTTGCAACAATTGTTATAAATTCTACAGTAACCAGACACACCTAATAATCCACATAGGACCAACCTAGGCCACTTTAAAACAGTTGCGCAGGAGGCGAATTCACACCTAACTCTCTCTTGCTGGCAAAAGTTATTCCTCGTAGCATCTATCAAAATAGAGGAAAACACTTAAATATTCTTCACAAAATGTACATTTCAATGCTGTGCCGGAATTTTGTTGTAAGATAAGAAATATTAATTTTTTTAAAGTTTTAATTAGACAATTGTGTTTTGACAGCAAAAGAAAACAGCCGCTGGCCTTACTATGGCATCTTGTAAGTACACCTTGATACCAACTAACTTCTTGATTTTTTATTGGGTTCTTATTAATCTATTTAAAACTAAATCAAAGACAACACGAGTCTAGATAACATATTTCAATATAAATGTTAATTTCATACAATTTTTTTTTGCTGAATCCGCCAGATTTTTCTTTAATTTTAAGGTCGCACTCTGAAATTAAGCAAATAAGGCCAGATCCCATAAAAATGAAGTTTGTGTTGGCAATGCCCAACTATCAAATGCTAGTTGTTCATTTAAGAAGTTCATGCTGGCAATGCTTTGCCACAAAGCATAATGGGATTGGTTTGTGTCTTTGCCACCCACAACAAAAATGCAACTCTGCTCGAAACTCAATCAAATATAGTAGTTCACATTTTCTGCGCCAGATTAAAATTACATGCTATAAAAATAAATAAATTCGAGGGCATCATCATAAACAAATGCACAGACAAATTAAGCTATAGGCAACGAAAAGTTTGTTTTGTCTTTTTATCCAGGTGGCTATCATCATGTTTTGCATAGTCAACATGCTGATTTACGCGTTCAACCCACTCTACTTCGGAAACACATTACATCCTTTTCAAGAATTTGACTTTGTAGTTTTTTATCTCACCCCGTATCCCCCAATAACAATTCTATAAACATGTTTTATTGTGTATTTGATAATTTGTTTTATTGTTATTTGTTATTAAATTTTACAGTAGTGTTTTATTATCTGTGTTTTTGTTATTGTATTTCTTTTTATTTAAAACTGTTAATTTTTTTCCTTTATTGTTTGTTATTTAATTTAGGACATTGTAGTTTTTGTTTGCTTGCATTTTAATTTAATTGATTCCTATTGAAATTATCATCAAATAAAGTAAATGTTCTTTTCTTTTTCATAATATTTGTTTTGTTTTTGTTTTTGTTTATAAGATAATTGAGTTTCTTGTTGTTGCCCGTTTTACTTTTCGGTTTATGTTCTAATAAAGCTTTATAATTATATGTAGTTGTTGTTGATGATGCTTTCCAACTATGCCTATGGGGCTGATGACCCGATTTCGATATTCATTGAACTCCTCTCTAAATACATATTTTAATTCTAAACTGGAAATAAATTTTTTTAGATAATTTTGGTTTTTCACTGATTTCCCCTACTGCGGTTCTAAACACAAAAATGGACGTGTCTTTTGTTAACCGAAAAACAACAAATCAAAAAATAAAAAACTCCAAAATTGGTCTGTAGCAATGAAACACATTGATTTATTCTTTTATAAATTATAATTTATATACATACATTTATTTATTAAATAAAATATCTGAAACCAAACAAAAGAAAAAAAAAAATTGGAACATAAATCACAATGCCAACAACATCTTAGAATTGCTTTAGAACTAAAATAAAAACGGGTGAATAAACAATATAAATTTTAACTAATTTTGTTTTGTACATTAAAAAACCATATAATAAATACAATAACAATGATTGAGGGGACGTGCGTGTGTGTGTGTGTGCTAACTTTGTCACTCACACCTCCGCCTTCGCCCTTTCCTCTTTTCCTTTCTTTTGTTTAAATAAAATACAACGACAATGTGCCACAGAGAAAAATAATTCATAAATTACACTAAACCATTTTGTTTTCTACATTTATTTAAATAATTTCTTTAAAGTTTGTTTAAAAAATCTTTGGTTTGAGGATTTTCAATTTCGTATTGTTGCCCTAACCCTCCGATTAGCTATGCTATGTTCTTGATCTGCAAACTTGAATTGTGTTTATAAGAAAACTCTCCGTCATCGATCGTGTAACATTTTGTGGTGATATCTCCTTTATTGGTTTCCCGTTGGCTGTAAAAATTTCCCTAGAGGAGTTACATATCACTAATGGGGCGGTTAAAAGCCTAGTTAGCCAAACTTTTTGTTAAAAACAGAAAAAAAAAACACAAAAATGCTTTTCATATAAAGAACCTGCTTTCAGTTTTATAAACTATGAATATATGTATCTTACGTAATGATTGATTTCATTTAAAAGAAAAATGTCTCGTCTATGTTTAATTGAACCAACCACCATGTTGGAGTTGTTCTATCTTCTTCTTCTTCTTTTATTTTTTGGTAATTATGTTAATTATTGATTTGGTTTCCATGCTTACTACAAATGTCTAAAAAATGTGTGTGTGTGTTTGTTTGATTATTTTCTTATATTTTGCATTGCTAAGATTTGAGTCGAATTTTAAAATCAGAACTGAAGGAAAAAATGTTTTGTTTGTGGTTTTTGTTTTAGTTGTGATAAAATCGTATTTTCGTTTCTTGAAATTATTGCTTTCGTTTGTTTTGCATGATATCAATGTGTGTTTGTGTGTCTGTATGTGTTTCATCTCAATTCTGGCTCGATTACTTTTTACCTATCATCTATTTAGTGTTAAAAGAGATACTAATTAATTATTTATTTATTTTTCTTCTTTATTATAATTCTGTTACTGTTCCTGTTTAATTGTTATATTTTTTAAATATGTTGTTGTAGCTAAATAGTCTTATCGTTTTTATTTAATTAATATTTAATTTTTTTCAGAGAAAGAGAATAATGTTAAAAGAAGTTGTTGAGAAATTCTAAAAATTGAATAGTTGCAGCCTGTTTTCTGGTTGGTTTTGGTTTTGATAGGTCATAAAAATAGTTTACGTTTTTTCGCTAACTTCTTGAGATTATTATTTAAAATTATTATTTGTAATTATTGTTTTTTTTAATTTGTTGTTGTTGTTGTTTTTGCTTTTTGGTTGGTTGATTATAGTTTAAATAAGTTTTGACAGCCTTAGGCCAGATGCTTATACATATCCTCCAACTGGGGTTTAAAGTAACTCTTTAACTGTGGTCGTTTTGATTTGAAGGTAGGTGTCAGCAGGCCATTTTGCACCGAAAATGGATCTGGATGTAGATAAATGTCTTTAACCTAAAAAAAAATAGAGGAAAACGAAATCAATAAAGAGTATTTAAATAATTTAATATTAGGTTATATAGATAAACACTTTACTTAAAAGTCTCGATTGCTAATCTTTAAAGCAGCTCAATAGGTCATACATATTAAGACTATGTATGACTTGCCTTTAAAGTCTCTTTTACGCAGGTTCCATATCAGTCATCCAAAAAGACTTCGTAGGCATACTTATAAAGAGTCCCCGTCTCTGACGTATAAAAACTTTCTCTATAAAAACTCTCTATATAGTTATCAACACTCGGTAGGCTTGTCTAAAAGTTTTTCCTCGTCCTTAAAGACTCTTCATCGCTTGACTATCGAGACTCCATATATCTTGCCTATTAATACTTCCTCTTCTACTTCTATAAAGGGTCCGAATAGGTCATCGTCATATATTTCTAAAAATTAACTAAATTTTATACTTGACATATATAAAGACGATCCGAAACTATTTCTGAAGACATTCTACAACTTGTATATAAAAGCGTGTCTTTAAACCAATATCCCCCTAGAAGAAAAAAATCCGACAAACTCTATCCCTAAAGACTATATACAATTGATGTAGTTTTTCCACCACCAGCCTGCATTTTTTTTTTTTTTTGATCCTCAGAATTTATTATCTTTTTGTTGTAGTATTTCTAGATAGTCTTGTTCTCAATCCCACCAAAATATTTATCTCACCTGTTCAAATGATTTTAGTCCGCTCTGTTTGCCCCACTTCAGCATATCGGTCATGATGAGTTCTTTCACTTGAGGATTATTACAAAGTACGGACAGTGTACCACGTACACCGTTTTCCATGGCCCATTGTTTTAGGACTTCAACATCGGGCACAACCACAGCCACAATACAGCTCTGCAATATAAAATGGAATGGAATGGTTTGAGAGGATTTCCTAAATGGCCATTGGAGACCAACTCACCTTCAGACTTTCGCCATAAACAAAGACTTGATTGACGTACTGACTTAAAGTGTAAATGTTCTCAATTTTCTCGGGCACAATATATTCACCCTGACTCAGCTTGAAGATATGCTTGCGACGATCAATGATACGTAATGTACCATTTGGTAACCACATGCCAACATCTCCAGTGTGATGCCAGCCCTCAGGGTCAATGGCTTCGGCAGTTTTTTCAGGATCTTTATAGTAACTGCAAATATATAGAGAGTAACACAATGCGATTAATAAAATTCTGAAATTTGTTAGGGACTGAGTCATACATACCCATGGAACACATTTGAACCTCGAACACAAACTTCACCAGTATTTTGATTGGCATAGTATTCCATTTCTGGTACATCCACCAGCTAGAATAGAAAACCATATTTTCTATACAATTTGTACTAATTTCTCAAAATACCCACCTTAATGGCATTACAGGATACGGGTGGACCCACATGATTGGGCACATAGTCTCCCTGCACTGTCAATGTTATGGCACCGGTACATTCGGTTTGGCCATAACCCTCAACCACCAAACAGCCCAAAGCACAGCGCATAAAAGTCAAAACATTACCAGCCAATGGAGCTGAACCCACCACCATCAAACGAAGATTTCCACCAAAAGCTAAAAGGGCAAAAGCAGAACAATTATCAGATTTTTCTCTGCAAGATCTTCCACATCGTTGTCATCCTACCTTGATGCACCTTCTTGAATACCAGCTTATCCCAGCAACCATTGCGTCTCAATATACCTCTGGATATTTCTTTCTCTTTGGCTTTTAAAGCCATATTAAATAAGGCTCTCTTTATGGACGAGGCAGCGATTTCATTTTGAATTTTATCATAGACACGATTTAATAGACGAGGCACGGCCGGCATAACGGTTGGCTTCAACATCTTCAAATCATTGTTCAGTTCTTTGATGTCGCCCGAATAGAAGCCAACGCACCCTCCCACATAGTACATGCCATTCTCACAGCAGCGTTCGAACATATGGGCCAATGGCAGGAACGAAATCATGACGTCACTAGCACGGATGCGATGATCACCTGTGAAGGACGAGATAAAATTGAAAATGTTAAAAGTTTGCGGACCATCCTCAATGCCTATAAACATTTCATATCCATCTATGAGGAATTACTAACCCCCTTGTCTAGATGCTGACGTATTTGGCCAGCCATTGGCATTCACTTACCCAACTGCAATATGACAGCGCACACTCCAGCAACAACATTGCCATGTGTTAGCATAACACCCTTAGGATTGCCCGTGGTTCCTGACGTATAACACACCGTACAGAGATCTTCGGAGCTAGGTGGTGCTTCGGGATGATTGCTTTTGGCACCCAATTTCTCGACGTCGATAAACGAAAAGATTTGTATGCCTCGATTGCGGGCATTTTCCAAAGTAGCTGGCCTCACCGGTTTTATGGCCACAAGGATTTTCAGCGAACGTGGTGCTTTGTCCAAAAGCAAGGAGGCTTTCGCATCATCCTCCACCACCACAATTGACATTTCAGTCTGACGAATGATAAAAGCACAGGCATCTGGTCCAAGGGTGTCGTAGAGCGGTACCACCACCAGCGAATAACAGTAACAGCCCTGCTCGTACAGAATCCATTCGGGACGATTTTGTGAGTAGATGCCCACCAGCTGTTTAGGTCTTACGCCCAGGGCAAGCATGCCGGAGCCAAAGTTCTTGGCGCGCAGCAGAGCTTCATCGTAATTGATCCACTGAAAGAAAGGCAACGACTATGAAAAGCAAGAAAATATGGTATTGGACCACTCTTACCTGATATGGAGATGTTAGGGTTTCTCGCCATCCCAGACATGGTCCATTGTTGGACGCATAGGCACCCTCACGAAACGTCTGGTACAGGGTTCGTACATTCTCTGTGATGTACGACACGAATTTGCCATTTTTTGATTCTTTGTAGAACTTCGAGACATGAATTTGTTCCGGACCCTGCAAGCAAAATGGTATTCGAACAACGACAACGAGAGAAAAAAAAAAGAAGAAGGAAGAACAAGACAATGATGAGTGAAAGGTGGTGCATAAATGCATTAAGAAATTATGTGTGTGTGTGTGTTTGTTATTCTTGGTGTCCTATGTAAATTTAATGCTCTCTATCCGCGAAGGCCACACACGGCATAAATCCCTCATGTAAAGACATTTATCGGTTATTTATCGACAACAGTTCTAAACTAAGCGCAAATTTATGGCCGTTCAACGTCAGACGCACGGAACCAATTTTTCCCCATTTGCCGCGGTCCGTTCAATTAGCAATCAATACTTTTATTGTCTTTTGTTGGCAGTTTTATTGTTGTGCGCCTCTGACGGCGACATGACGTGGCCAACGACAGGCCAATTTTGTGCTTGCACACAGCCCCAGCCAAGTATCGCTCAAGTATCGGCCGTAGTGGACCAAATTTAGATAAACGGCGATGCTACTACCCCACTCACCCACTTGGTGTGCCTGCTCTCTAGCATTGGTACAAAGCACTTAGCTTTTTCCAAGTCTAAAACGCTTTTAAAATAGATTTTAATGTGGCCAGTGTTGAAAAATTCATTCCATTTAGCGGCATTATGTTAATATTCAACAAGTGTTGATGGACACGAATGCCGAGTGATCAAAAAGATTCGCCTATTTTTCGTTTTAATTTACTGGGCTGTGGAGGTTGGGGGGGGGGGGTTTGGTTTGTGGTATAAAACGAAAACAAAACGGCAAATCAAAGAACAACTGTTTCATCCATCCTCCTGTGTATGTGTGTGTGTTTGTGTGATGGGGTGGGGATGTATTCGTGATATGGAATGCAGACCGGTATGCAAATAATGTTTATACCTGTCAAAGAGAATGAATTCATCATCGCCCTCACCATCATCATCATCGTGCATATGATCGGTCGAGGGCGGGCGGGAGGTGGCATTACAAACCATCGATTCTCAATGATTGACAATAACAAGTAATACATGCCATTTATGTTTTCTTTTTTGCTAAACGATTTCTGTTTACGTTCTGTGTTGAAACGTAACGAATTCACTGAGCACTGCTAATGATTTCAAATGCCCGCTGGTGTAAAAGGGTATCCGGGAAGTGGTATTTTGATAAATATATCTTTTTGAAATTTCAAAAACAACAATGGGAAATTTTCGATGGAAATGAACTAATTTGGCTTCCCAAAAACGATATTTATGAAAAACAAAAAATAATGTGAGATGTCATACTTTGGAAATTCATAGGAAAAGCAAAAGTTGTTCACACTATTCATTAAGTATTCGAAAATAAAAACCAACTTCGACGTCATCATCTAAAATCTTGCAATGGATTTGCCATTGTTAATTCAAAAATACAAATGCCGCCATTAATTCTTCTGACACAAAAAGCCAATTTTTAAATGTAAATAATTTGTATTCCAGTACATTTTTTTTTTTTAATTTTAAGACATTTTAAACAAACAATTCATGTAAGTGTTTCGTTTTATGGAATTTTAAAATGTAGCTCTGCTGAATGTGATATTGACCACATGACTTGTAATGAAACATTTCCCATCGATTGCTAACAAGTGGACCGACAGCTTTCACCCCCTTCCTCCTACCTCTCTCGAAGAGTGTGTCATAACACAATTAGCGAATTTCAATTGATTGTTTGAACATTTTCATAAAAGAATTAAAAACAAGTAAAATAGTATAGCCTTGAGTTACGATGTTGACCTTTCATGGGGAAAGTTCCGAAGCAGTTGGCCAATATTGACCAATTCGTATCTGACCTAAGTCTGATATAAATATTACAACATGCCATATTTTGGACTATATCCTCCCATACTTTATATAAGATGTGTGCAAATTTTTGGAAAATGTGGAAATATGCATGCGGTAACAGTTATAGCGGACCGAAGTATTCCATTTTCAGACATTATCTAATACACCTAAAAATATTGGTATGTGCTAAATTTGAAGGAAATCGAACATTTATATCCATTTTTATGCGAAATCATAAATTTCGAAAAATAACATAGTTAAATCAGATTTCTGGTTAAGAGAAAGATTTAGATGTATCAAGTTGTAAAGAATCGTCGACTGGTTTCGCAAGTTATGACAGATATAAGTATTGGAAATTGGGTCCCCTTTGGATAAGGTACAATAAGGTGTTGGCAAATCTTGTGGTAGCAAAACTATTTGGATTTGTGAAACTTGAAGAGAGTTGGATGATTATTTCGCTTTCTTCGAGCGTTTTGTTTTTCAAAATCTTTAACCCTATGTGGGGGAGGTACCAGAGGTTTTAGGTGTTTTGAAGATCATAGCCCAATTTTCCAGCCCAAGAAATCCTCAACATAATTAAAAAAAAAAGCTGAATATAGGTCCTGGTTTTGAATTATCGACATAACAACGTCAGATCATTTTTCATTTTACTTTTATTTAAGTCATTCGGTATGGGAGGCAACTAGGGCCGGGTCTCCACCGTACGTCCCCGGTGAAGCCTATAAAAAGTTAGTATTAAATGTATCCGTATTCTTGTGAATTTATGCTCTGTGAATTTAGAAAGAAAATTACTACAGAAGTATGAATATACCTCTGATGGCCCTCGTTTGTAGAAAATCATTTTAAATAGCCTTTATTGTGTTTGGTTCCTAGGAGGATATGAGCCCCACAAACGTTTTTGTATTTCGCCTACTTTTCCCCACAGTTTTTCTAATTCCTTATCAATTCCAAAACGATTAAGGCTGGGACTTTAGACATTTATATTTAGCATACTTTTAGGCGATCAAAGTGTTTTGGACAAATGCAAAATATTAATGTTAAAAAACTCACTTTACATATGCGTATAACATCGTGATGTGTAAACCAGTAAACTATCTCTTCCTCATGTAAAAATGTCACTACAATAACCAAGTTTTCCTTTATGATATCCAAAAAAGTGGCCAAGCTAGAACTTTGTTAATAACTTCCCCATAAAATACCACTTCCTTTACAACCCCAACACCTGCTGTCATCTTCGGAGAGTGGAGCATGCAAATGACTGGTGGCATAACAGTGATTTGGGTAAGGGGAACAACACTGAATGTTTCCAATGATATGGGCATACCCTGCGATTAATATCTAGGCGGGGATCATATTTTATCTAATTAAAATCAAAATCGAGCGATGACACAAAACAAGGAGATGCCACAAAACAATAAATGTAAAAAAAAAAACCAAGAAAAAAGAAGAAAACTCGGCATTAGTTTGGAAATATGATTAAGATTGGTTGTTGTTGTTGTTTTATTTTAACTTTTCTGCGGTATGTGGAGAGCATATTTAGCCACATATATATGTTTCGGATTTCAATGCCACTCACATACCCAGAACTTTTTTCATACGTTTCTTGATCAACCCATTGAGAAGAATAAACAGTCGTTAATTACCTTGAGAATATCACTCTGACTGGCCATGTCGATGGGCGGACGGATGGTGGTGATCTGACCGCAGCAGGACATCTTGAATGTGAATTTTTCACAACTACTCTGTTAGAACTCTGGCAAACAGACAAATGCTAGCCCACATAAAAAACCGTTGTTGCTTGCCCGCTCAAGCGAGTGTTAATTGTTGTTTTCTTTTCTTTTGTTCCGTTTCTCTTTTGCACAAAAACTGTTAATAATATATTAAGGAGAAATTATGTTTTTGTTTATCTGAGATTGATTTGTGTTGTCTTTTATGACGTCTTGGATGCGGTTCTTTCTCACGATATTTTGTTTTAGATGGCTTTCCTGGACGCGCGCGTTCTTTTGCCGGCAATCGTTTTGCTTTACTTTACTCTCTGCACATGTTGCCAACTCGCTGCGATGTTCAATATATTTTGTTGTTATTTTGTAAATTAACCGAAATAAATTGCCGTTTTTGCATTGTTTCGCGGCGGTGGGGATTTCGAATTTATTTTGCCAAACAACAGCAACAACATCAATTGATTGGCCAGCCAAGCCATCAAAGAGCAACCAAACCAACAAAATCGATTAACCAACTCCTCGGGGGATATATCATTCAACGCGAGGTGCAATGAAACATCGCTTGTGTTTATTCTAGATACAATCTACAAGATACTTAAGTATGTGATATGTGAATATGAGGATTAAGGGATATCTATAGAAAAATTCAATGCCACATATTGGCATGGTTGTGTGTGTGTGTGTGTTTGTGTGGAATATATGGTCTAAAGACCAAACACCTACTAACGGCAGACGAATATATCTTTAGATAATTTGTTGTTTGGATCTCACAACAATAGCGCGGAATGTTTTTCTTCTTCAAAATCTTATGACTTTTTATTGTGGCAAAAAAATGCCAAAAATTAATATATATATGTCTGCATATATGTATATGTGCTGTTTAACTTTGACGTCATATAGACATTAGAACATGTCTTCACATATTTTTTTTTTAAGAAATTATGTTTTTCCTATCAACACCCTTATGGTATCGGCTTAAAAAGGGAAGCATATTCAAATTGTTGAAGCATTTGTAACAAAGGAGAAAAAAAATGTAGGTGGCGTATACGTTGTGATGAAACGTATACGCACACCCTGTACTTAACGTAGGAATTCTGCTAATTATTCTAATCACCAATGGAATGTTCTATTATTATTATTTGTATTTTTTTGAAATTAGATCACCTGCCCCGGGCAATGTTACCAATATTACCTCATATTTAAGTAGAAGAGAGGGTGTTAATAAGTCGTATTAGCAAAGCATGTCCATATCTATTTTTATGTCTTTCGTTGTGGTCTTTTTTTCCGCTGGTGACAATAATCATTTTTCCAATGGTCTCGTTTGAATTGTTGCTGTTCCGTTTTTTTTTCTTCTTTTTTCCTATTCTTCAAGGTCAACAAATTAACCACATTCGCGACAGTCTGGGACGTGCCCCCTTTAAATTTATTTTTTTTTTTTGATATTTACACAATGCTGTATGACGAACTGGTCTGCATGTTTCCCGG